CTTGTACGTTTAGACCATACATTTGATAGTGTCCAGAATAAAACACAGCCACATCAGGTACCTCTTTTGCGCTTGGGGCTCTAATTTGGCACAACCAGCCGTCAATACAACCCGCACAACCGCTTAATATCTTGTCTGTGCTGATGCTGGAAAATCCGTCTGCTAATTCCTGGATTCGATCCTCTGATTCCACGGGTGAGCGAATGCGAAGCTCGGGACACTCGCAAATCGCGGCCATGACCTCGTGTATCATGTCGTAAAACCCAGAAACCGAAGTACCGGCGAGACCACGAGTAGTGTGATAATTACTTCCTGCTAGCCACGAAATTGTTATCCGGAGCCTATTTTCTGGCGTGACAGGTTTGATACCCGTCCGTCGAGATGACTGGAGGTCGTCACGAGCGAAAGCAGGTCGCAGCAGTAGCAAGAGGTGCTCGAACGACTCCACATCCATCCTGTAACAGCGCTGGAACTGTCCTTCTAATAGTAGGGTTTGCTTGTACACAGGCCACTCCAACCGTCTACGCTTGATACATTGGCCTTGGCCAGGGGGAAGAGCAGCAAGAGATCCAGCTATCAGCAGTAGGCAGCGACGGCGGCTAGCAGCAGCTTTTCTCGGGCCCTCTGTCCAACTTGCGAGAACATTCATCTTCTTCGCTGCGATAAAATCCGAAGATCCAGCCCTGCTTGCAATCCCAAGGTCAGATCGCAGCGATTGTCTAACCAAGAAAGTTACCCTTATCTCGACTCTGAATTGGCCAATCACAGAGCGTTCCTGGGATTGCAATCCCGGTTCGGAACGGCCCTAAATTAGCTGGCAGATTTACATGTACATCAACACTTGCAATTCTGCAGGTAGAGTGAAACACAATCATTTCAACAGAAGTCGTGACATTTCTTGGCAAGAATGGATACCTCACTTTCGCATATCACATGAGCTATGTAGTAGAGCCCTGGTTTAGGACTTGCTAATATCCATGTTTACATGACTAATAAGTAAATTACTTAGTAATGTGTGCCAAACGTTGGCAGAGCCGACCCCATTCCGGTGTACTAAGTAAGTAGGCCACTTTAAGCACTTCAAAAATAATACTACGTACATTATAAAGTATTAATACTTAGTGAACTCCGACGTCCTCGTAGTTGATGCTACTAGTGTAATTGTGCTCATGTCCGTTGTTCGAGCCACGGCATGTGGCATTGACCCCATTAAACCCTCGCCAGCCTCTACGGCTTTGGACTTGCTGACGAGGCGTCCGGAACAGTGGACGTCACAACAGCACTGGGTGCCCCGATAGTATGATCCCTCACCGCAGAGAATCAACACACAGGAGAAGGGACACTCTTGGAGACATGCTTCCTGGCGCGTTGCAGTGACCAAACAATAAAACCGACTGGGTGAAGACTACTATCCCCTGCTAGCTAATACTAAAATGGAGGGCATGCACCGTGACGAGAACAGCGGCAATATATCGAGTGGGAGAACGGCTGCGCCATCCAGCGCAACGGCTTTCTCTGCGGTCGGCCTCATGTCGCTTTGGCCTGCATCAACCGTCGTTTTTTTGCCTACGCGACCAGCTCTGCCGGCAAGTTAAAAACTATACTACCTCCGTTCTGAAGAAGATAACCATTTCAAATTATATTACAGCCTACCCAACAAAATACCCTCTCTATGCCGATCAATTTTTGGATTTCGAATCTCCCGCGCTTTCCCGACCAGACTGGCTCCCGCTCCTTTCATTTTGAAAGCTGGCACCTGGGGGAGGTCAGACAGTGAGCGCCAGGCCGTCTGGGAGACCTTACTGCTTCGCAGCGCGGGAGGAGTGGTCAAACATGGAGAGATCGTTCGTGTTGCAGCGTACTTCCGTGTGGGCCGCCAAGTTGTCGAACGAATTTGGAGGCGTGGAATTAATTCGATGGGAGATCGAGTAGCAGCCGTGGTCAAGTCAAGGAAGAGCGCATGTGGTAGGAAGAAGGTGAATCGAGCTGAGCTGTGCGAGAGAATCGCTGCAGTTCCTGTCAATGAGCGCGAATACCAGCGTCTGCTTCAGCGCGCGTCGAACATGAGCTGCTACCTGGTTTAGCAGCTGATCAAGGAAGGCTACATACGGCGTGCGCTCAGACAGACCCGTCCACTACCTACACCCACGCACAAGTTTGCGCGCCTCCGGCACAAGGACAAGCAAGTACGAGCTGGCACTCTCCCTACGTCACTGCCTTGTGACGCTATCTCACTCGCCAATGCTAACGCGTACATGCTGCTTTTTGCAGCGAGCAGCCCCCCCACCGCCTACCGCTGAAGTTCTAGAAGCCCCACTGAGCGCCCCTTCATAATGTGGCGATATAGTTGCCGTCTTAGATCCGTTTTTGTATCTGTAGTTGCACGGCGGAGCATGAACGCCTGTGCCTTGCTTAGTTTCTCACTGTCAATCTCGGTCATAAAGCTACCTAGCCAGCCTCTCACAAATTAAAAAACGCTCAAATGAACGAGGCGGAGCGCTGCGCAAAAAAGAAACAAATGGTTATCTTTTTCCGAACGGAGGTAGTAGCTTCAATGCGACATATTATCCCTTGAGCTTGTGGTCGATGTGGCGATGACTTCCGTCTCCTCCGTTGGTAGGCATTCGTCGTCTCGCACTCGCTCTTTAGCCACTGTAGCACTGTTGTCTTGCTGTTATTCGTGTCCTCATGACCACACTCATACACAGTAATATTTTTTGGCATGTTTGTCTCATTTTTGAAGTTTTTTTCTTAAAAGGAACTTGCATACACTTTACAGGAAGTACTGATATTTAGTTTCAAGCAAATCCGATAAGACAGCTGGATTCCTCAGTCTGTGAAATGGTAGTATGCTCTGTGAAAATGACCCACCCTCTGTGAAATGACCGTTTTCGTCTGTGATTTTAACGCACTCTCCATCTACAAAGCACGCCACTTCCACATTTAAAGCACTTCGTCGAATTGATCGAGGCAAAGAAATGGCATGGTTATCTTGGGCGGACGATCCTGCCAAGAAAGCCTGTCAAATCATTTGACTCAAATGTATGGTCAGATGGTCGAATAAGCCCTTTCGCAGCACACCTGCTGGTGTTTACGCTCAGCAATAATGCAGGTACGTGTACGCTGGTCACCAACTTCCTGAGGCAGGACTTAACCCTTGTTCTGTAGTACCTGTATTACAGTGCCCGCCAAATCATTAAGACCCCCGATTTGGCGGGACAATTCTGACAATATCTCGGCTTCTAGCCTGAGTTGAGAGCTGCTACTTTGATATGTTCTCTCTATTAGGCTTACAGAGGTGCCACTTGTGTTAACAACTTAGATTTCTATGTATCTGACAGGGCTGGTATACAAATTCAAGGTTTGGACATCAGCGTCAAATTATGAAGACCACATCCTTTTTATGACGAAAAAAACACTTTTATGAACAGACCTTACAAATTTCTATATTTAAAGAGTGATGGTCAAAATAAGTAGATGGTTGGCGGAAATGAGCGGGTAGCTAGACGCTACGGAGGCTGTGAGCCTTTCATTTTCTAATGGGCCACGGCAAGACCCTCTCCCAACAAGAGTACTGGTTTATCGTCGGTCTCCACGACGGAGGCGTCTCTCTGCACGAGATACAGGTCGGTCCCGTACGTCCGTCCGGAACGCAGTCAAGGCGGAGCGGGGACGGAAGGAAGACAGGGGTGGAGAGCGAAGGGCTGGGCGGCAACCGGCACTGACGGAACGAGAGCTGCGGCAGCTTGTGCGTGCCGCGGCGACAGGTGAGTTCTATGCTGCGGAGCTCAAAACGAAGTTCGACATCAAGGCGTCCGTGAGGACGATCCAGCGGGTTCTGCAGCGTGTGGACCATCTGGTTTACACCAAGATGGACCGCACGCTTCCCCTCACGGCAGCGCACAAGGCTGCCCGCATGCAATGGGCGGAAGATTACATACTGAAGCCAGGTAAGCCTCTCATATTAAAGTTTTGCTGCAATTTTGTATTATAACAATATTTATTTTTTAGAAACTTGGATTTACACTATTTTTTCAGATGAAAAGAAGTTTAATCTAGATGGTCCTGATGGATTCAAGTATTACTGGCGGGACATGCGCCAGCCTGCACAGTCTTATCTGCGTCGCCAAAATGGAGGAGGGAGCGTCATGGTGTGGGGCGCTTTTAGTGCAGCAGGTAAGAGTGAGCTGGCCATCTTGCGTGGACGTCAGAATTCAGGTGACTATATTTACACGTTATCTGAATATCTACTCCCTTTTGCTCACGCTAACTATGGTGTTGACTTTGTATTTCAGCAAGACAATGCTTCGATTCATGCCTCGCATGAAACGAAGCAATTCTTGCAGGAGATGCAACTCAACACCATGGCTTGGCCAGCTCGCTCGCCTGACTGCAACCCCATCGAGAACGTCTGGTCGGCGATGGCGGCCAAGGTGTATGCACATGGCCGCCAGTACCAAAACGTTGCTGATCTGGAGGCAGCAATCATGGCTGCATGGGACTCCATTCAGCTAGACTACTTGCTGAAGCTGATAGAGTCCATGCCTCGCCGCTGTCTAGCGGTGATCAAGAAGAAAGGTGGTCTGACTAAGTACTATTTTTTAATATAGAAATTTGTAAGGTCTGTTCATAAAAGTGTTTTTTCGTCATAAAAAGGATGTGGTCTTAATAATTTGACGCTGATGTCCAAACCTTGAATTTGTATACCAGCCCTGTCAGATACATAGAAATCTAAGTTGTTAACACAAGTGGCACCTCTGTAAGCCTAATGGAGAGAACATATCAAAGTAGCAGCTCTCAACTCAGGCTAGAAGCCGAGATATTGTCAGAATTGTCCCGCCAAATCGGGGGTCTTAATGATTTGGCGGGCACTGTATACCGTATGCAATTAGCCGCAGGACCCACCTCATGGTGCAGCAAACCACCGTTGACTCACTTTCGCATTCGCCTTCTAGCACTCAAGTCGTCAACCTCGCTCGACCGCAAGCACAAGGCAACTCATGGTTACTTCGGTATCCGGCGCCACTCGGGCGATTTTCGCTCTATGCTCCGTAATCGCTGCCAACGGCGGCTTTGCCACTGGTGCCGGTGCTCATGCCGACGTCGGTTCTTGCTTGACCAAGGCTGGCACCGAAAACTCGGTCCCCACCACCACGACTTGGACGATGGATATTCAACCGTGGAACTCGCGTGTGAACCCTGTGCCTAACGCTGTCGCCTTCCCCAAGACGGAGAAGGAGGTGACGGCTGCGCTTAAGTGTGCCGCTAGTGCTGGCGTTAAGGTGACCACGCTGGGTGGCAACCGCTCGTTCTCCAGCATGGGTTTTGGCCGTAACGATGGAGCTCTTGTCATTAACCTGAAAGCTCTTAAGCACCTAAGTACGACACGTCTACGAAGCTGCTGTCATTCGGTGGCCCTGTCATGATCTCGGAAGGCGCAAACTTCATGTGGAACAAGTACAAGCGCACTCTTCCCCACGGCCGTTGCCCTGATGTCGGCATGACCGGTGTGGCTGCTTCGGGTTTCGGCACCCTTTCACGTGCTAGTGGTACTGTGCTCGACAACATTGAGTCGGTCCGTGTGGCTCTTGCCAACGGTTCCATCGTGAATGCCGATGCTAATCACAACTCGCATGTCTACTGGGGTGTGCGTGGTGCAGCCAGCTCGATGGGCGTGGTACTGGACTTTAAGATCAAGACCCTTGAGCCCCCTTCGGAGCGTGTGACGAATTACACTATCGCTTTCAACTCGAGCTACAAGCCCACGCAGCAGGACAACGTGGATGCACTTATTGGTACGCAGACGTGGGCCCTCAGCAAGGATAATAACGACATGGTGTCGATCCGCTTCAGCCTCAAGACCAAGTCCGCACTGCAGGGTTTCTTCTACAGAGGTGGCGCCAAGTCCAAGGCCGTGCTTTGCTCGCTCATGAAGACTCTACCCGCTTCGATGGTCCTGACCACGAGCGAAAACGACTTCTGGACGTCCGAGAACATTTCGACTCCTGGCCTTCAGGAGGAAACTCTGAGTCCCCGTCGTTTCTTCTACATCGCATCGGTGACCATTCCTCGCTCGACTCCGCTTGACAACGCTTCCGCGTGGGAGCTGTTTTCCGGTACAGCCTTCGCTCCCAAGCTTCCGGACGCGTTAGCCTCCGGCTTCGTGGACATCTGGGGTGGTGCGTACGCCAAGACAGTCAAGGCTGACGCTTCGGCCTGGAAACACGACGACAACCTGCACTTGGTTCGTTGGGACATGCGTACGGCTACGTTCGACGTGAAATTTGCCGACAGCTCGATTGCCACGATGCGCAAGGGCTTCTACAGCTTCGTGGATGCTTACAAGGCTTCGCGGTGTGCCCGCCGGATTCACGACCTACCGTGACGAGAAGTGGACGGTGCCGGAGATGGCCGAATACCTGTACGGCGGTGGTAACTTCAAGAAGCTGCAGCAGATCAAGACGGAGGTCGACCCGAGCGAAATGTTCAACACGGACCCTCAGGCCATCCCCGCTTTGGCTTAGACGAGGATATTTACCTCCAGACTCCACAACGAAGCAGCTCAGACTCCACAACGAACGCACACTCTCCCATTGGCTAAAATACGTCCGTTTCAAAAGTTGTTCTTACGAATTCGCGCTGGAGAAGTAAAATGCCGATTGACTTATTGGGAGAGTATGGCTACAGCGATATTTCCCTTCACATTGCTTTCGCAAATGCTGATATTGCTGGGAAATTTATCAATGACTCTGCACTGAATACAAACAAGTCTGTACGGCTCGAGAACAGCCAAAACTTGAAGGGGTACTTGAAGCAATGGTGAGCCAGACTCTAATGAACGCCACTCAAATGCTGCTCCGCGAGGACGAGACCAGCGTTGTATTAGACTTGATCATTGAAGAGCCCACGTTGGTCCTCCCATTGAGCTCGGAAGGTGCTCCTCATGTTAAAGTCACTGCAGATATGCTGCGGCTTGCCCACTTTCCATCCAGTGTAAACGTATTTCCGATTCACAAGGTACGACACAACTGCGTATAAGTCCAGCACATTCATAATTAACCTCAGCGCAGAATTTAATGCAATCACTACTACGTACTCTGTCTTGACTGATGCGGTAGACCCACGAAGAATCGTCGCCTTGATGGTGCAGCGCAGGAGCAGCACACCCCATATTCCCAGCTCATAGCACTTCCAACACATTAGACTAGGTCGACTCGCCGCACTGCACGCGACTCCAGTCCGGATGCGCCAGGACACAGCGTCAGATCTTCACGAGCTCCAGCAGCACGTCCGGGCTCCAGTTGCGGCCGCTATCGGGCAGCAAGTCCTCTCCATTGACCTTCACGTCCTGCAGGTCCGTGATGGGCGGCGGCAGGACTTCTGTTCCGAAAAGGGCTGCTGCAGCTGCAACGATGCATGCTGGAACGCGACGACAAGGTCATGTGTACGGTGGTCGGCCTTTTTGTAGCAACACGTGGGAGATGAAACGGACGTATTTTAGCCAATGGGAGAGTGTGCGTTCGTTGTGGAGTCTGAGCTGCTTCGTTGTGGAGTCTGGAGCTTAGACGATCGTGTACATCGATTAAATTGGTGCTTCTATTTAGAAGATTCGTCTCAAGTGCTACAGTAGTAGAAGAAAACCGTGAATGTAACCACCACCCTCGAGGCTTTTGAGGCTTAGAAAAATGAAGAGGATCCCGTCTTGTATGTTTTTCGACTATTTTTTGAACTAGTACTACGTAGTATCTATGACTGGAGATCCGACATATGCGGACACCACTCTATGCCGCCAACTAGCAAAGTTGAGCCTAGCGCAGGTGTAATTTGGCTACGCGAACACGTATTAAATAATGGCAGGTGTTGGAGGCCAGGATTATTTACATGGAACTGTACACGATTAAGGTCAGGATTAATCCTGGACGTCAAATCATTTCTTATTTCAGTAGACATATGGGGAAGATACGGGAAGATTCGTTGAGGACGAGAAAGATACCTAACGTGTGGCTGTCCTTCTTCCAGGATTAATCATGTACGTTTCAGGATTAAATCATGTTTTGAAAATATGTACAGTAATGTCAGTAGCTTTTTACAGGATTAATCCTGGAATTTCCATGAATAAAATCCTGGAAAGATCTCTTAAAGGCTATTATCTCGTCAATCGCATTGAGTTACGTGCATAACAGATCCAAGCTCTCCATTCATGTGCTTCAGTTTACTGAGATCGCTCTTTATTCTGCAGAATCAAAGTTGAAATGACATGTATTTGGGTTTTTGCAGGTCTTGAAAGGCAACCATCCAGCCAAAGCTACATTTAGACCCGCGTTTGTGCAGCTTCTTGTTTCTGCGTTGGCTCCACCTGTTCTTCTTCGTGGGTTTGCTGCATATCTTCATGTTGAGCAAAAGCAGGGCGCTTTTCCTCAGTGTCATCTTGTTCAGCACTGACCGATGGATGTATGGGCAGCAGATGACCTTTCAGCATGTAGCAGAAAAGATCGAAACGACGCTTCGTGAGAGACGCAACGCTAATATCCACGGGGTGTCCAGTAGAGACTTGCCTAATGAACATCCAGCAGACGTAAACGCCGCAGCTGAAACCATCAAACTGGATGGGATTGTTTTGAGGGATCACGTCGTACTCGGTAAGTCCACCAATCTTGAGGCTGTTAGCAACAGCGTTGGCAGCTTTAATGTACGGACCTTGGTTTAGCGGGTCGTAGTAGTAGATCCGCTTTGCATGAACTTTCACAGCAACGCAGCACCAATGAAAATTCGAGAAGTTCAACGGGAGCAGTACCGTATCGACGCCATCTTCACGGGCCATCTTTATCACTCGTTCACGTGTGTTGTGGTCAACCACAGGCTCTTCGGTCCGCGTTCGCTTGGATCTTGCTACTGCTGACTGAAAGCCGGCAAATCTGCACGAAGAATAATTCTCGCAGAGCCGAATGCACAAAGCCCTTATCGAGGCATCTGATAGCCATGTTCGAGGGGAAGCTCTGTAGAGCAACGCATACTGGAAATCAGATAGGTTGGGAAGGCCCTCGATTCTCTTCTTCGGGTAGGTGGACAGGATTTCGTCGGCAACTGGGGTCGCAATTGCGTGGTACTCAGCCGGTAGTGAAGGACATCCTTCTTGTACGAGCCACTTATGCGTATCCAGTCCAAGTTTCACCACTTGCATAAGATTATGCACTCGCTTGAAGGTTTCAATTTGAGCTCGCGAAAAATTGCCCACATCTTTTATCCAAATCGTCTCCACGGATCCTTGAAGTTGAGCAGATCCGCTGTCTTGGCTGTTTTGGGAATCATCTATGGATATGGCATGGTTTGCTGTGTTCGACACCGGAAGGATCTTCATAAAAGCATCCAATAGCTTCTCCGGGAGTATGTAGAGCGGGTCCTGGATGATAACAGGATTTTTCAGGATTTTGAACTTAGGCTTTTTCTTCTCGGCCTCGCCGTGTTTCATAAGTACCCCAGACAATCGCCTTTGTGTCTCCATCAAACCCGGTTGCTCACGGTCCAGAGAGTTAATTAAGCGGTCAAAGTTACCTCTCCTGCGACCTTTCGCCCTGTTTCCGAGGCCTCATACCACTTTCGACCTTTTTTTTCGCCGGCGCTGGTCGATTTCTTCTGTTTTTGAGGTCGACCCACCTTTTTGGCCTTGGGATTGAGCCGAATCTTCACCTTCCCACTCGATTCGGAGGCTTCTTCACCTTCGCTCGAACTAATGTTGAACTCTGCCTCGATGTCATCTTCTGCGAAAGTACGTACAGGGATCTGTTTATCTGCATCCTCTTCACCTCCATCAACGCACTGTTCATCGCCTTGCCATTCATCCCCATCTTCAGATTTCCTCATCGGTACACTTTTCCGCTGGCGCACGTTCCTCCACTGATCTAAAACGAGCCGAAGCATTTCCTCAAACTCCGCTTCGTTCTCTATATCCGCCATTTCATTAGCGATATGGTGAGTGGCCTTCACCGCTTCGCGATATCGTTCTGAGTGCGTCCTCAGTTTTTTTTTGTCGATCCACGTTCTGCATTAGTAAACTTCTCATAACTGAACTGTTTAACCTTATTCAAAGGGCGCGACGAAGAGGTCCACCTAGACAATCGTCCACAAACCATGACAACATAATGCAAATATGCTGTATTAGTATAAGAACAAATGATGAGTAAAAGTATCGAGATCATGGAAAAATCCTGGATTCGCCACAACAAATCATGGAAAATCATGAATCATCACTATTTTACCTTTCATCGATGCGATTCCAGGGGATAACTGGACCGATAACATTCGTGTGCTTGCGGTATGCGATGGCATGGCAACACGGAAGGCACATCGACAAGGAGAAATCGCAGTCACGTCTCCAATCATCAATCCGCAGATTGTGCTCCGAGAAAACCCCTCCAACGACCACGTGATCAGCGTCGTCGGGATCAACAGTGAAACTGTACACTGCCGCTTTTGACAACGCGGTGGTGTACTGGTGTTCAATTTGTTGCGCCACAAAGTGAGTTGTAAATCGTAGGACGTTGTTCATCTCCTCGCCGTAATTGCTATTAACAAACTTTCCAATTCGGGACAATCTGTACTTGTACTCGTTTTCAACCCGGCGACCATAAGCAATCAGAGCCTTTACACAGCCTGCCATACTCATACTTCCATCGACCGCGTCCTTCAGTTTTCCAAAGAAATTCTCCAGTCGATTGTTAGTGTGATTCTTGAAGTCAGGCAGTTTCGATCGTAGATAGTAAACCCACCCATCTTGACAGGAATCCCAATTTTTCTGAAAATAATAAAAAAAATCCAACCCGACCAATGCGCTGACACAATCCTTTCAGAGACTCGTGTGCAGTCTTGTACTGTTCTTCACAAACCGCGTATACCATCTTGTGAATAGCACCGTCGATCTGACTTGTATCTTCGCTTGAAACTTTTCCAAATTCTGGCCTCGCTCGCATCTCTTTAAGGTATTTAATCACATGAAAGTGACAAATAAGAATTCGCGCCTCGGGAAAATTTGATTCTAGAACGCGAATTTCATTCATATCCTTGTCGACGACAAGGACTCGAAGCATGCTAATTCGCGTAGGATGAGACCTTTTGAAATGGTCTATGACCCTCTCCATGTGCCAGTCTCCATTGGCTTCGATTAAGGACTGCTGCACCACTGCCCCCTCTCCAAATTCATTTATAGCCATGAGCGTAAGAAGCTGGTAATTGTATCTAGAAATAAATTATTGAAAAATCCTGGTTAATCATGTAAAAATCCTGGACAATAAACTAATGCAGTACCGGTTGGTCTTGTGACTGCAATCAACAAGCAGAACTTCGCTGAACCGACTGTAAATACGGCGCATATGTGCTGAAACAAGAGATATCACACCGGTCTCACCAGCATCCGTTGTAGACACTAAACAGACATTTTCTGGGTCTGCAGCTGCAATTATCGCAATCTCCCGAGCAGTGGCGTCGTTATCGTCCAAACTGGAAATGCTAGAGCCGTGGTCACGAACCAAGTTGTCGACGTCTACCTGGATCACGTTCTGATCGTGTGTAAGTAGATAATCGTAGATCTTCGAACGTTTTGCGCCCACAGATAGCATTCCTTGCACTCGAGCATCTACGAGTGGATCTGCGACGCCCCGAGATGCTGGATAAGTAGCGAAAGCAGCCGGTGACACTCTATGGTTGTGCACGAAGGTTCCGTTTTTCCGTTGGAACTCACCACGTGATAAATTCCACTGGATTACGAACCGGAAAGGACCGTCAGTCAAGCGTATGTGCTGCCGCGGCCTGCTTCCTTCACTGCATGATTTTCGCTTCTTCCAGCCATGAGTGCAGATATATGTTCGTTGGTAGGGGTCAAATTGCTCTGGTACCAACTGCGAATCGTCTCCTCCCTTCCTTGTCTTCTTTAGGCGCTTGTTCCTCTCTGCTCTTGACATTGTCTCCTTCACTGGTAACACTTGCATCGTTCTCTGGCAGTAATCGGCAAAGTAGGTTTGCCATGCCTCCCAGCTTGTGTGCCAATTCACCGGCGCTTCAACAGGTACAAGAGCCAATTCTGCAGTAAATCCCCCATCATCCTCTTCCTCTCCACCATCCGATTCTGAACCACGCCCTGATTTTACATCCTCCACGTCGGGATAGTCACTTCCACCGTCGTTTCCAGGGATGGCGGGACCGCCACCGGTTTCCAGCGGATTTTCTTCTTCGTTACTAGCCGCTTCCGCAGCTTCAGACACTCCAGACACTCCAGCTTCTTGCGTATCACTTAGCCCAGGACCTCGAAGTCGCGGAGAGAGACCCCTGTTGCCTTTACGCGCGCTCCGGGCGCTTACATCGCTTCCGCCGACGTTACGCGTCATCTTATCGGGAAGCGGTAGAAACGCGAATGAGAAAAACCCGAAGTTATACATTTCGGAAATAGTCGAATCGGGGATTTTATTTTACTTTCAATCATGATTGGAATCCTGTACTAATTCATGTAAATAATCATGGCCTCCAACAGGCGCGTTAAATAATACTGTACATGTAGTACCTTACCTTACTACGTAGTATTATAGTACTTGAAGTACAGCAGTAATTAACCTCGTCGCGACGGACACGATATAAGAAATGCTTATCCTGGACTATACACGATAAGTAATTTCACTTAATGTTTGTATGTGGCTTACAATTTTTACGTAGAATAGGGACGGGGTGCAGAATTGTCTCTTCAACTGCTCGTCGGTCGTCTTTTCATTTTCTAAGAACTAAGACTTCGAGGTTTTACATGTGTGTATGAGCTACGTACGACATTTTTTTACAGTCAACAGTTCACACGCCATTTCCTCTCATTCGAGAATTTGCAGCGAATTTCCAAAGATGTCTGGTGCCCGTTAATAGTAATAAAAGCTTGGGCACTTCTAGCAAGCCGAATTACAGTCTAACACGTTATATAGATACAGATAAAACTGCTAGAGAAGCGTTTCCTTCTATACTACCAGAAACAATTTCAACGGCGACCGGCGAAAGCGTAAAGCGCGAGGAAACAGTCGCTCAAACGGCTAGCGATAAAATGATGATGTGCCATCTTATTTAATACAGGATATATTTAGGCTAAGCTTGTACGATACACAAGTGCCCTAACAGCAGTGCCAATACACGAGGAAGAGGCAAATGATCAGCGTATGAGCGACAGCAGGATGACGAGTGATGTTGTTGCTCATAAATAATATAAGAGAATGATAAGACGTGTCACTTACTTGTATTAGACTCTTTAGCGCTCTATCTCACCTGTATATTGCTGATCTGTTGTAGCTGATGACATTGATGACTCACGCAGTGATAGTGATCATTACTGTAATGGTAGCCAGCTTCCGCCAACGTTGTGTCGCAGCTCGCCTTACCTCTCACCGACTCCACATGAGTCCCGCCATGTGTCAACTCGTATGACGTATGATCGCCAGGCTGACGATGCGTCAAGCTCGGAAGAAGTCCCCGATAGTTAACGCAACTGGGCAAACGCCTTGATGCAGTTGATGAAACCGCCCGCTCAGGAGATGGTGCTGGCTCTCGCCGATCGGCCCGAATTACTGCGATAGCTTCTGGTGGGGTGTAACGGGGTACGTAGCCCTCAGTGTACCCCTAGCTACATGAAGTATGACGTGTCACACTATGACACGTCATACTTCGGGATAATTGGTACAAGGTGTAAAGGTCGTCCGAGGCCAAGCATTGGCTGATGACATTGCTTATCTATAGGTGACTTATAGTTTGTATATTTAACTCAAGCTTAGTCTACCTATAAATATACACAGCTTACAACTTACCTTGAACTAACACTTCGCTCCCTTTCGGTAAAAGGGGACCTGTGAGCTGCCGTTCGCGGAGAGTTTGTATACTCTCGGAAGCCAACTTCCTCTAGCGCAAGGTACTGTTTGACCCCGTCACACTTGATAGCGCTTGTAGTCAATCCACGCCAACACGGGTAGACTACCTGAACCTCTCTGAAGTTCGTTGCCTTGAATAGGAACGACTTCTCCAATCTGAACGACTCACAGCTCGAGTCGGTTCGGAAGATGGCAGGCATCTTCTGGATGGAGGCCCTGCAGAGCCTGGTGTCATCAACACCGGCCGAGTAGGTCGGGCGCGTCAATGCCTTTGATGCTTATGAGCAGTGGCTTATCGCGCATGTGCGGGAGAACCGACAGGCTCCGGCGGCGGAAACAAATCCGCCACACCCAAGGCTAATACGGCTGAATGTTAAGTCGTATGAAGGGAAGAAAGGTGAGAGCCTTCACTGCTGGGTCCGAGAGGTAGAGCTTGCGATGGACGCGGCTCTGATCCCGACCGAGCTAGTTCGTGTTGCTTTTGCACTCTCCAACCTTAGCGGTCGTACTAAGAGCTGGGTGTACACGCGGGAGGAAATATCCCCTGGATGTTTCACATCCTGGGCTCAGCTGTGCGAACGGCTCCGAGCCGCGTTCCTCCCGGCGAACTATGAGTACCGCCAGCGCTCGCGCTTCCTCTCGTGCAAGCAAGGGAGGCGTCCAAGAGATACAAGAACTCACGGCGTTCCTCGTGGAAAACCCACTCAGCGAACACATCAAGATGACTGTGTTCATGGACGGCCTTCGAGTGGGCCCTGCGCGCTCTCAGCTGTTCCAGGTGCAGTCAAGCACCCGGAACAGCAGATTCAGGTGGCTCTTCAGAAAAAATACAGCCATCGCCAGGTGCGTACGCCGGCCTCAGCATGGCCTGGGAGATTTTTGTCGTATATCGGTAGAGCGAGCCCCATCGGACCAGCTCTTATGGAACTCGGGTCCACCGAGCAGTGTCACATTCGCTGCTTCGGCTGCGGAAAGATGAGCCACTTCAAGCGCGATTGCCCTGCGGAAAGACTCTGCAGACGGACTTTCCCCAAGCCCGTCCTCAAGGGTCGCTGGCAGAAGCCAGGATCCCGAGGACAGGATAACGCCGGAAACCAGTAGGGGCGGGGCGCCCTACTGGGGAAGAGCTGAGGCTTCGTGAAACAAAATGAGAGCAAATAAAATTTGAACGGTGCTTTTAAATACGATGTGTCGACCATATACAGTGTGTCGACCACATAATGCCGATTTTAAACCAATAGGGGCTGTCTTCGATGCGATTGGCGAATTTTTAGCAAATCGACTCCGCCTTCGCTTCGCTTGGCAGCCAGTAGATCGCGTGGGTTTTATTAACCCTAATCGCGGACGGACTGACTGTTGTTAAGCTACTAAAACAACACTGCCGTCAACAACAACAACAACAGCACGGAGTCTTGCGACACAAAACTGGCACATCTAATAGCTAATTCTGAATCATGAACGCATGTTACCATTTGAAATTGTTTTAGCTTTGGTATGAGAAGTGATCAATCTTTAGTTATTCAAATAGGCAGTACAAGCGGGTAAGTAGTGCAAGCTGGACCTAACTTTTGCGGTGATGTGAGCTAAGCTTCATAGCGGCCCGTGATATCGAGCACAACGCTAAACTAAACATATTATGTAGGGTTTATATTAATCTTATTTGAAGTGCAGGTGGAAGATGAAGCTACAGTGATGGTCAACAATAATAAAGAGATTGTATCAAGAATCTTGATTCAAGATCATTAGAATAATTTTTTTTAATCAGGTAAGCATCATAACTGACCCAGATTAAAAAAATTAAAAAATGGCACGTAGGGGTTCAGCGCTTTTTTTTAATAATTATCCTGCCGAAGCATTAGGGAAGGTAAAAAAAAGTAAACTAAACCTAAGCTATTAATACCGCCTCGTAGCGGCGGCACTCGGCTAGTTATGTAACTAGTATAAATCCCCCGAGGAAAATTTCATTTGCCTCATACTGGCCAACCTGCAGGAAGAGATCCTGATACAGTAGATTTGGCCTTCTGCTTGGACGAGCTCGGGTCTACTCACGAAGTTCGTACAAGAAGGCGATATTAAGCGCTTGTGGATGCAAGTCCAGCTTATCATGAACCAACAGACCGATAACGATGAGGAGGAAGAAGGACATAACAAGGATCTATTGTACTGGCGAGATGAAATGCACCACCATTTTTTTGTTTTGCCCATAAATACAAAAGTAATTATCAGATTATGGCCGACAGACCCGCAATGGAAACAGGGTAGCACAGAGATCACAGACAAACACACATTGTTTGACTTTCCTGTCTTTTATTAAAATGGTGGACGCTCAAACGTCTGCGGGAAATTGATGCTGATCATGCATGCACAGAACATTTCTTGCGATATTTTTAATAAACAAAAAAAGCCTAAAGTGACAAGCTTTACGCCAGAATGCAACGCATCTGCAGAAGTTGGTTTTAGCTACAGGAGCAGCGTAGGGATTGCTGCATGCAGTGTTAAACGCATCGCCGACAGCCCCACTTCCTAGGATCAAATGTGCATAGAAATGAGTAAAAAGGGCATTGTTGATTGTAATACTAAAGTTTGTAAGGACCAAAACATCTGATGCCATATGTCAAGAACATAGCCTCGATTTTTTGGGCGGAACGAAAGACACGCACTTTTCGATTAAGTGTAGCATGTGCATTTGAGCAGATATTCAAGGAAGATTATGACTACTTAAGAGAAGAAATCGTTATCTTTCCAACAACAAAAAAGCTCATATAAATTGGGTAATTGGGTGAGAAGTTGTGAAAGGGGCAATGTTTGGTGTTGGGTTTCATCTTGCCAGTACAATAGATAACCTTCCACATTGCAGTGAAGTTTCTATCGACGCCGCGGGTGTGAGAATGAGGGACTTGACTTTCTTTCGAAAGACTTTCGGGTGGACACGCGCAGTGATAACACCACCGACAGTTGAAAGTTAGCAGAATAAAGTTGTTCTCAGCAGTTTGGCGAAAGTGTGCCATTCGTGAAAAATGTTTTTTAGACTAAAAAGTTTAACAGTGGGTTGTGACCACCTATTACGCAGCTCGAAAAACTGCAGGAGCAGTAGCATGCACCAAGAGTGGCAGCACTTTCAAGATGGAAAACCAGTCGCAGAACCATTCCAGATGCATCATCGATGACAGTCCGGCAAGGAACGACCTCAAAACCAAAACCCCGTTGCCGATACCTAGGCAGTAAACGGACTGTTCAACTGAAAGGCTTGTGCTAGGAAACCGGAAAGCAATCAAACATCAGTACAAAGAGCAAGATTGACGACTGTGAAAGCTGGGCCTTGAAAGGGTATGATCGGCAACATGGTTGGGCACAAGGCGTCCACCAACGAGAAAACTTAGATACCCCAAGTGTCGACGGTGAAAGCAATCAGCCTTTTGCATGCCATCGATGGCGATGGACGTCAAATCCAGCGAATGGAGCCTTCAGTCCAAGTAATTTCATCGTGGTGTTTGGCGCGACAATACTTAGTAGAAATCATCAAAGCTTTAAGCAGGCGGCGATGCATCGATGTGATCGGCCGTTAGCTCACAAACTCTCCGCTAAGCCCCCACTTGCGGAATCGAAATGCAGCCCACGAGCACACGCATACGTAGCACTGTAAGGCCCGTGAAGCCTCCATGCCAATCCAACGTCTTCTGTCCTCAAGTCGAGGCTCAACTGTGCACAATTTCTGATCATTTCTGTCCAGCTGTACAATGCGACGATGATTGGCTGAGCTCACTATCAAATCTCACTCTTTCGAGTCATGTCGGACCGGGTGGCGCCCCTCGGCTTCGTGTCGGTGGCGTGCGGCGCCTTCTTCTCGCAGATACGCGAGGAGACCCACACACAGCTGCCCCTACTGGACCGCACAGAGTCCACCCAAGCGTCCGAGACGTCCGCAGACGAAAATAGCGGAGATGGGGGCAGAAATTCTCCATCAGGTGGCGACAAATTGTTCTTTTTGGATGAGATTGACGTAGAAAACCCATTTAGAGACGTCCAGCAGCCGCGAAAGCTAAGTGAAAAGCCCCATAACGGGATGGAGACGCGTATTATCGTGCCACCTCGCAGTGGTGTCAAGTCCTCCTTGTCTGTGGGTAGCGGCCAGCTGGCAGCTTCGAGTGGAGACACTGGGAGTTTGTCCGTGAAGCTCTCGTTGAACAAGAAGCGACCTCTGCAAGTGAAGAGCGAAGAAGCGCAAGACGAGGCTAAATTGACAGACCAGTGGGATCTCGACACGTTCATGGCGAGCTCAAGGTCAGCTCTCAAGCAGGCAGAAGTGGAGCTCAAATTCCAATTATTGTGGAGCGAGAAGTTCGCGGCAGGACAATCGCACTCCATGATAACGTTTGACAGAGACATGGAAGCTTCAGACGATACGCCGCGCTTAACGGGAGGTGGGAGACCTTGCTGTTCCCTTCCTGGATGTACGAAACAAGCTCAGACTAAGGGCAAGTGTATCGCTCATGGAGGAGTCCGGGGATGCAAGGTGGATGGGTGCACTGCTACTGCAAAGTGGCGCAGTCTGTGTACGGAGCATGGCGGTCGACGTACGTGCTTGAAGGTTGGCTGCGAGAAACTGGCATTAAGTGGTGGGAAATGTCTTCAACATGGCGGCGGGGGAGGGAAAACGTGTTCGTTCCCGGACTGTGTGACGAGACCGCAACGACGAGATTTGTGTGCTGCTCATGGCGGCTTTATTGTGTGCAAGACCGAGGGTTGCGAGCGTAGAGCTGCCAGTAAAGGACAGTGTTCTCGTCACGCTATTGTGAAAAAGTGTAAGACGGACGGCTGTGAGAAAGCTGGGGCGAATCGTGGCTACTGCTACAAACACGCAGTGGAGGCGGGAGTTATAAAAGCCTCTCGAAAGCCGAAATGTAAGGAGGAAGGGTGCTTAAAGATCCAACTTCGACAAGGCTACTGCTCCCGACATGCCCAAGAACGAGGTATCAGTGTCGGTCGTACGTGTAAAGCCGAAGGGTGTAGCAAGGTGGCCCAGGCTGGAGGTTTCTGTGCGACACATGGCGGTGGAACACGATGTAAAATTGCTGGATGCAACAAGTCCACTGTGACCAAAGGATTGTGCTCTACTCATGGTGGCCGGAAGACGTGCAAGGTTGAAGGTTGCGAGAAGTGGGGGCTCGCTACTGGGTCTTTAAAAGGTTATTGTGTTGAACACGGCGGTGGCGATCGCTGCAAGCATCCAGGATGCACCAAGAGTGTGCAATACAATGGCTTGTGCTGCACGCATGGCGGTAGACTGAAATGCGAGGCCAAGGGTTGCAACAAGGCGGTCCGAGTGAAAGGATTTTGTCCTGCACACCATAGCAAAGAATTATAGATAAAAACGTTGGTCGGTTGAAAGAATCACGGTGGGTAGAAAAGGCGACCTTTGTTCCGTTGGAGTGAGCTGTTCGATGAATACAAGCTTGTTCACCCACTGCGAATGCAAGTTCTACAATATGTCGCTCATTTTTAGGCGGAAAGTTGATTCACACCCGCCCCCCCCTCTTCAATGTAATTCTATATGAACAGTAGTCTTAAATACAGTTTAGAGAAAAAAGGAATGTTTTCTACGCTTTCATGGCATTAAATTCTTACCATTTGGCAGTTTGCGTCAATCCAGGCACTCTTACCCCTGTCAGTGAGCGTAATGATATCCCCTAACAAAGACCTTTTCAACCGGGCTTTGATTTCTCCCGCCAACTCCAATCCCAGTATGTCACGAGGCACATCGCAGCCAGTTCACCTCAATCGCCTCAGTACACTTGTACTGCTGCCGCTCAAGAATACCCACTAAGAGTCGCGGTTCAGCCTCTACAAACGCTCAAAGTGACGCTCGATGTGGCTCTAGTAATGGTGTGGATTGTATCTATGTTCACCTTCGTTGATATCGACCTCGACACAGCGGAAAAGAATGAAGACCAACGCAAGGAACTTATCGATTATTACAACTCCGTCTCCGGTTGTATTGCAAACGCGATCGAAAAGTTTATTGGGATTGTTATCGAAACAGTGGTTGGTGTGGGGATGCTACTGAGTTCGCAGTGTATGACTACAGGTTCCGGTACAGTCGCTATGCCGTTTTGCTGTCGACTGCAGCGATCGGCTACTTGATTAGCAGCGGACTAAGTGCTTTTTAAATGTCCAGGTAGCACCTAGTCGTGCTATGATACAAATGGCCGCAGAGGATATGGTGCTCTCTAGTTCGGTAATAGTCGCAGAGGATGAAGTATTAGCACCGGCTTGGGACAAGTCGATGTCCGTGTTGACGGTCGGAAATTCTGTGTCAAACACAGTCTTCCAGTCATTCGTTTATCCTCCCCTTCGACGCCTCCAGCGATAAGATATGTACTCAGCTGGAGTATTCCTACATGTATTATCAGTCGACCGTCAACTTTGGATACCCGAGCTGTCCGTGGCACGCACGAGTGGTTTTGAACACGTCTGCCGAGAAGACACTAAAATTCAGCTAAAAAAACTGAGCTTGATGACTTGGATGACGAAAACCTTCCGATGGAGCAAAATACACTAAATGTTTTCTTAGACCTATTTCGCCGTAGCTGGAGTTGGCAGCGTGGATTCATCAACAAAAGTAATCCGTTGGAATCGCCCTTGATCGGAAATTTGAACAAGATGCATCGCCAAAAATGTCAGTCTCGGCGAAGTGCTAAACCTGACGAAAGCTACACGCCGGGAAATCAACTTCCTTCAGGTGTCCACACGAATGTTACGGTCAAGCCTGAAATTTTGACGAGGAAGACACGAGCACTACGACATTCGATTACTTTACTGTCAAGTATTCTCGCCCGAATAAATCGGATACCGTTGTCTTCGACAGTATAACGTTGGAAATGGCGTATCCGATCAACACGTCGTGTCGAGAAATGTGTGTCGGCTTACAAGAGATGATACTGAAAGATTCAGCCAATATATTCGATACCAGCAGTGCTTACACAAAGATGATACTGTACCTAAGAGACCCGCGAAGGTGAAAAAGCGTCGTCGTTTGGCTTAACAGTTCCTGCGTCGCAATGTCAAACAAGTCGATGATCTTTTTTAGCGGATTTAAACCGGCGACATGGGTAGAGACAAATTCATTCCGTAACAACGGGAAAAGTGTCGTGGTACCTCCAAGATTTGTCAGATTTACCGGCATATACTACATATAAGTACGGGTGCGGATTTTTCTCGAGTAATTCACGGATTTCTTTCGAGTAAGGCCCTTATTCGGCGACACTTCGAGTAAAAATTTCAATTTAGATTTTCTACATGCCAGTAGATATTAATATCTATCGAGTAAGCTTAAAACATGGGAACACCGTAAGCTCGCCGCAAAATCAAGCATTTTATTCAACAGTGGGAACCCACTGTCTGACGATGACGGCCCGTACTGCCCAATTATGCTATCAACTGGAATGCTGGGACCGAGCGACACCGTGCTCGACAAATGATACGTGCAGTAGCGTCGGCACGACGGTAAGACAACAAGAGAAGATGGGGGCAATAGCAGTGGCATGCTTCAGAAGCGCTGTACCGCGTCATCTTGATGGTACGACTTCGACAGACTGGGCCTCGACTCGAAGCTGCTCCTGAGAGCAGTGCGCGTTAGTCAGGCAGTTTTAACAATTTCCTGGCTCTCCAATCAATTCGCTTTTCAACTTACCTTCATGAGCTCAAGCCCCCTCCACCAAGCGTCGGTATTTACCCCTGCTAATTTCCAACAAGGTATATTTGAGCGTCAATTTGACGTCGAGAGCGCATGACATCAACTATCTGTTACTGAAAACTCTGCCCTTCTTAAATAAAATAATTCATTTTACTTAAGTGACCAATTATTGAAAATACTTTATTGCAGTCCCGAATAGCGCATAAATATTTCAAAACAAATGGGCTCGAGAAAAAAGGCTAGGTCAGTTCACATTGTCCTTGGAAGCAGGAAAAATGCATCCTACAGCAGTGTAGACACTTCCACAATGTTGGCGCCCAATAGAACACACGAGAATCAGACACATACTTGAAAAGTATCCGGTTATCGACACAATCTTATTGCACATTTTTACTCGACAAGCATCCGTTTCTAGCGGCTACTTGCAGGTGATCCAACATTTACTCGAAACTAATCTTTTCCCTTTAAGTGGGGCTTATTAATATTAATAAGTACGATGCTTAAAAGAGTGCCGAGATATTCGTGCGATACAGACGCTAATTCCACGCATTTAGTTTTGGGAGAAGATGGGATCCCTCTCCAAAACCTGAGGTTGGTTCTACCGGGTATGGCGATTTTTGGCCAGACTACAAAGGCAAAGTTGTTTTTTTACCACCGATATTTGATCACCTCAACGGAGATGCGGACCTAATGAAGCTAGTTACGCGGTGCTCCCACGAAGTAGAGACTTTTGTCGACCGACCTAAAAGAAATCATCTTTATATCGAGGACAGCCATCAAGCTGCGTGTATCGGTATACTTCATTTGAAAGCCCAAAGAGCATCAAAAGCTTGCACCGGATGGAGTATTGCAAGACAGCTTGCCAGGGTGGCCGAAGCTTCAATTTAGCGGCAACAAGAATCATGTGGCGGTCCGCGTGTCGATTCCGATTGCCAGCATGGCGCTATCATTATTATGTTGCGCCGTACTTGCCACCATTGGTGTCGCCAGTGTATGTTATCGCAGTCACTGACAGAATTGGTCAGCTGACTGACGCACGGACAGTGGCGAAAGCAATCATAAACGATCGCAAGTTTCCACCTTGGTTGCTTGAAATGAAGCTGGAGCACCAGCAAGTCCCGAGGAAAAATATAAATGACGAACTTAACAGAGGAACACGTGAGCCCTGTGGTGTGTAGGTAGCTAAGGCGTCGATGCTTCTTTGCTTGCCCCTTTTGCTTTTGCCGCTGTCCACTTTTCATCAGTTCCTGATAAGCGCAACAGCTCCTACTTAGACCTGTATGTTGACACGTACGAGAGAGAATCCATAATCGCGATGAAACGAGAGTTCATATCGCGTTGAATTAAAGTGCTTGAGTTCATAACGCGTTGAAACTTCAGTTTGATGACCACAAGTTACGAGGCCGCCAGTGTGTTCAAGCGAGTCAAATTCTCGGCGATATTTTCACAAGCGCTGATAACGCAGCTCATGACGATGAAATCCTCCATGGTAATCCGCTTCTTGTGATCGTCCACATACCCTAACAAACACTCGCCGTAGCTATGTTTCAGAGCTATCGCGGCTTCTGTGAGCGTAAACGCCTCGACGTTGAGTAGCGCTTCAGGAGCTGAACTTTCACTAGCCGACGACATGGCTCGGAAACGGTGTCGTCGGTTGGTCTTCAGAGTTGCCTCCGGGTCGTTCACAGGGGAAGATTCAGACTGCGACGCAAAAACTGCCATATCCACAAAATTTGACGAAGCTCGAGGTCGAGAATCCTCTGGCGCTGGTGGTGACACCATGGAGCTGCGTTTCTGCCTCCCTGGAGTTGACGGATCATCCGGGTCATCGGTTTGAAGAGAATTTCGACGAAGGATACTCTTACGAAGTAGACGGCCGCTCTTAGAGTGGGTCAGCTGGGACCCGTTGGGTCCAGTAATGACGTCGCCAACTGGGACTTGAGGCTGATCATCGTAGATCTCCAATTCCAGTCGGAAACCTTCGTTTAGCGCTTGCATGAACTCGTTGAAGGAGATTTTGCCGTCTCGGTCCTTGTCCACTAACTGCATGAATTCATCGACATACTGCTCCATTCCTCCAATGCCCTGACTGCCAGAGTACGGCATGAGTTTCTCGAGTAAAAGACTCAGCTCCGAGGCATCGACAACACCTCGACGATGCACATCAGCAATACGGAAAGCTTCCTTCATCTGCAAGTAGATGGCGTGGTCTTCAGCTGTGGAGCCTGAGAATTCCTCGCCAAATAACGTCACCAATGTATCGAGAGCCCCCTCGACTCCCGCCTCCACCACAGCCAGACTCTGATCCCACTTGATCTTGGCCACAGCAGGTGACGTTGTAGTCACATTGGGCAGCGGAGACGACGGAGATTGGACGTAATACTCTTCAGTAGTCGACTCTCCTGCCATCTCTGCAACCATCGCAGAGGTAGGAGAAGGAGGCTCTTGAGCTGCAGCATACGCCGCGGTACACTCAGCCTCGATACGACTCTGTTGCCAACGTCTCAACGGCTGGTCTTGTCCGCTACTTCGACGGTTCTCGTGCCAATCCACGAGATCCACCAGGACGTCAATTCGATCGAGGATCTCGCGACAGACGCTCAGGACATTCGTGTACTTGGCCGTCGAGAACTGAGGCTTCCACAGTGTCGGCTCCATACTAGAACCATTCAGAAGCTTCGCCTGCGTCTTCAGAAGTTCAGGGAGCGTATCTTTTAGTTGATCTCTCAGCGCCTTGATCTCAGTGGGGCTTAGTAATGCGTTAGCTATCTCAATGTCCTCCTCCGTTAGAACCCCCGTCGACGTGGCTCTCGGATGACTATACGCGATATGATGACGGAACACGTCGTGGAAAACCCCACAGTATTTCGTCAGCAACTGCTGGATGTTACTTCGCAGCAGACCACGCGCACTCCGAGGGTGGATCACAACTTCTACGATCATGAGGATGAGAATCCCCAGCGCATTCTGCGTGAGACTTGCGTACGATACTGTGGTCGAAGCCGAGGAGCTTCGGCAGCTGTGGTCGAGCAGCACCGAAGCAGCCATGAAAGCTGAGGTCATGCCGGCCAACGCCATGTAGCGACCACAGAACCACACATACATGGACCCCACTGTCCACACGAACAGCACGATGTTGTTCAGTGCGTTGTAAATGTTGTCGTCCGCCACTTTGCACACGAAGAAGCTGAAGATGGAGGGCACCACGGTTCCAGCCACCAGGCCCCCCACACGGTTCACGGTGTTGCCGTATGTCCCTCCAATATTGTCCTCCGCCACCATAGCGATCGCTGTCGGGGCTGTCGAGCTGAAGGCGAAGATGAAAGTCGCACAGCAAATTCCGATGATGATTGCCAGAGTCGTTCGGAACGCAAAGATGATAAGTCGTCGAGGGTAATTCACAGGCTGCAGCAGACTTCGACATGCCAACTTTATGAAATTCTTGACTCGGTAGCGAGCTGAAAAGTTCTTGCGGTTGAATTTGTCCTCAAACTCCAGCAACGAGACCACGAAGACGTGGAAAGAGTACACGAACACGTTCAATGGCATGGTTTTGCCCACGTCGTCTGCCGAATGAACGTCGGCCGAGAGGAGGTTCCCATACAGCGTCGTGTACTTTGCCATGAGACGCTCCAAAGCTTGCTGTACACTGGCGAATTTTGATGACGACATGGCTAGAATCATTGAACATAACAGTTAGGTTAACCGAATTCAGAAATAAAATATATCAGAGTTACGTACTTCGCGACGAGTTAACGATCTTGAGTGAGATATCATCGAGAAGATCGTTGGCCTCTGCTTGCAGCACGTAGAACCTCGTTTGCATCTTCTGGAGCAGCACCACGTGCGTCCAGTGACACGTCTCCGCCTCGATTGCAAATTTCATGGCGCGTAGATCTGCGAGTAACTTGGCGTACAGCTTTACGAGCTGCTTGGCCACTGTCTTGTTGAAGTGGAAACAAACTCCGAGTCCGATCAGCTCCTCCCACCAGCAGTCGCTTAGCAGCGATTCCATCGTAGTGAGACGCTCGTGGGCATTGTCGAGTAACCGGTCAAGGCGCAACTTGAAGAAGTCCATCTTCTTGATATCTTTGGCTCGGAAACAGTACGAATCGACGATCAAGTTCAAGATATCGCGGATGTCGTGAGGAGACGCAGCCATGTGGCGCCGGATCTTTCTCATTGCACTGCAAACACACAAGCATCACAAAATGGTGAGCACTTCCAGAATAATTATAGAATTAGAGTAACCCACCCATATATCAGACGTACAAGATAGGATACGGAAGAACCATAATCGCCAGCGCAATTAGAGTGCCCACAACGCCAACCGCACTGTAAATCGACAGCTGCTTCAGTAAGTTGTCCGTGCCGTAATAACTGTTACCCTGCGAGTTGTCCTTGAGAATATTCGTGAATACAGGATTCATCGGGTCCACAAGAGTCAAAGCTGTTAAATTACACACAAGATCATGATTAGTGTAAGGTTCTAACCTTCGATACAGAAAGGTTACAAACTTACTGAAGTACAGATTCGTGCTCACTGCGAACTTCTTGACGTTCGATTGCTACAAAATGCCACCCCAAACATCAGTATAAGATTCGTAAGGACTGGTAGTAATGTCCCTACTACAGTACGTACTATTGGTGAGAGTAGAACCACCAGCGTAAAGAGCGCAAGCAGTGGCAACGTGACGCCCCAGTCTTGCAGACTCACGTAGTACGTGCTGCCGTTGATGTTCTTTGAGACGGTCATGAGGTCTCCTTGGGTAATCGGCACGCAAGCGAACACAATAAAGTTGTAGAAAAGTGCAATGGCGACACCAACGTCGATCTGCCACACTTGTTCGAGCACACCGCCCACCGTATTGGAAGCAGCGTAGATGACCATCATGGAGGCGACTGTGAGGCCTCCCAGATAATAACTGGCCGGCAGAAACATCCACTCACGATCGTTGCCTTCGGTCTGGATCATCCCTGCCAATAGAACTCCCACCGAAAAGCGTACTGCCAGCTGCAGACGCTGCTTGAATACTCGCATTTCTTTCGGGTGTTTATTTTTCTTGACGCGAGCTACGCGACGACGTAGTTTCTCGGACGCCTCAGCCGACAGCATCGAGATGCTGTTCGACTTTTGCTTGCGAAGACGCAGGCGCATGGATTGCGTCTGAGGCGGTGGCGACTGCAGGTCTACGTAGAAATCGCTCGTTTCAGTGGCGGATGTCAATGGCACTCCAGAGTCATCGATATCCAGGTCCACGGAGATGTGGTCGTTGCTTGCCGAGCTTGACAGGTCATTTTCCGCTGCACTGCTGGTGTCGTATTGGAGAGGTGCCATGCGTTTAGGCTGGAGATGGCAATTATGAAATAGAGGAGCGGGTCCTGGAGTTGCAGGATGGCAGTCTCTCCGTTACACTGCTGTACGCGTTGCGCACGTCGAAAATGCGATTTTTGAGTGATTAGCGTCGCTTCTGCTCAGTCTCGAGTTGAGATGTGATACCCTTAGTAAAATATACTGTCAAAAAATGAAAAATGCCACATTAATTAAGAGCTTTACAAGTAATAAATAGTACCCGACATAGACGATTTCATTGAAAAAATAGACATAGCGAGGGATGTCAAAAGATGCTTGTCGCACAAAACGTCGAAGACCATCCAGCGAAAGACTAAGCCTCGTGGACTGCTACCGCAGCTCACAACGACGAAATGATTGATCCCTAACGTTGTTTCCCAAGCTCTGGCTGCTGAGAAATGTCTTGGATACGGCAACAGTCCGGCCTTTCAGCGCACTGGAATTGTTCGCCAAGGACGGTGCAGTTTCGAGCTGGTGGCGCCGTTCCAGCGCTAGACGCATTGGACAGGCACGAAGTCATTCCCGCAACTGGCACCCTTCAACACCACTAGGACCGGTCTGCGAAGCATGCTCGAAGTCAAGCTGCAGCTGCACTACAAGTACAGTGGTGGAGTTCCTTATCAAACGTTATGCTGCGTCTGATCGAGACTTTCAGAGTCGGAAGTGCGTTTTGCGGTGGCGGACCAACTGAGTCTATAACAATTTTGCCAACGCTCACAAGCGCCTTTGTCAACACATGCATACTGTTGCAGTATTACTGCATGCTGCTGAAGCAAGATACTGCTTCAGGATAGAGTAATCAACCTATTAACCCATGTAGACCGAACTCTATTCTGTATTATACAGAACAATTGTTTGACTTGATTAACATATTGCTGTTAGCTCGGTAAAATTAATCCGTTGCAAGCCGTTCGGCATGAGCAGTGTCGTAGACGCTGTGAATTGGGACATAGGAGATGTTTTGGTTGCCATAAATGCAACAATGTACCCACCATCTGTACGATATCTCTGTTTTTATTGGCTTAGAAATGATGTGCAGCGAATCTGTCAAAAAAAACTTTGATTATCAGTATCCCCCGGAATCCGATAGCAAAACGGTTTTGGCGCCAGAATGACTGGTCGCGCTAAAGGTTTGTCGGCGCATCGGCGCGTCGGCGCGTTCCCACACCAACTTTTCGGCCAGTTCTAGACTAGACGGAAGTGAAGAAGAACTAGGCTAGAACTTGGCTGAAATGTTGGTGTGGGAACGCATAGAACTGCTGACAGGGAGAAGGAGGTATTTATTTCAATGCGGCATGAGAAACTAATACTTCGCTAACTAACCTCGGCATGCTCTCATGCATCTTCGCTGCGTTTACGCTTACGGAATCGAATATTCTTTCTCAGGTGAGCAGGTATGGCAGTGCCGTTTGCCCAAGAGTCATGCCAAATTTGATCGCATGTGAGTCGGTTTCCTGCTTCGTTTTGGCGCACGCAGTTGCAGAGGGGGGCATATCCATCGTGCAGCTCCTCACAGGCCTCGCAGAAAAAACGGCTCTCAAACCCTTTGGTTTTTGGTGGAGCCATAGCAGAACAAACCTTGCATAGGTGCTGACGTCGCTTGTCCTTGTATTTTCTCTCTTGCTCTTGTAGTTGGTACTCAGGTCGAGGCAGTGTAATCGAGGCCAAGTCTTCTGCTTGCTCATTACTAGCCAAACTTGTCGCGGTGAGTGCTAATAACTCGACATGTAAGAGACGCATGTACTCTGCATGACTTGGTACTGGTTTGCCATCTTTTCGCATTTTTATCTTATGCACGATGAAGCCGTTCACGATGGCCATGTCGACGAACCCGAGAAAGAGCTGCCGGTAATACTTCTTGAAGGCAACGCATCGCTGGATTGAATACCTCTGGAGACGTAACTGGTCGTGCCTGTCAACGCCCCCCATTCTACTATGATAATCGGCAAGTAGCTTAGGACATGGCACCACTTGAGATATCGCGGATCCCTTCTCCTTTCTGGTGACGGTGGTAGCCGTGGTTGCACAGCCGGTAGCAATTAGATTCACAGGTTTTGAGTCCATCCAGGACACAGCAACCAGGTCAGGGTGATCCTTCGACTGGGCAATACGATAAGTTCCTCGGGGCATCGACACGGGCCGCTTTTTCTGTGTGAACGCGAATCCAGCTGGCCACCCGAGACGGTCGCTTCGGTGTGTCCCGACGTAGTAATACCCTTTCTCCATCAGCGCGATCGCGAGTGCGCACGATGAGTAGAAGTTATCCGCAATTATAAGACGTTTTCCGTGCTGCCCATCCAGAGCTAAGGAGACGTTGCGAATGACAGCTTTCTGCGCGACTCCCTTCGCTTTATACTTGGCTACTTTTCGCTCTGCAGGAGTCTGCGCGTTCTTCGACTCGTCCGAGGCACGCATGTACACTTCAATGCTGAGCCATACAGAACACCAAGCACAATAGTAGTCAGCTAACTCCGTATCCGACAGAACATGCCATTCTGTACCATCCGGAACAAGCTAATCAGCGTAGCTTATGCTGTATCGTACAGAGTAAAAAGAGAATACGAACCAAGAACAATACCCGGATTCCGCACAGCAGGTAATGTACACCTTCGTCCCGTACTTATGCGGTTTGTCCTTGTTGTAGACGCGCACCGGATTGAACTTACTTCGGTTAGGAATGGTCCCCTCGTCGAAGCTAATGCGCGCTCCAAGTCGATACCCTCGGCGAAACGTCTTCTCCAGTGTCTGCAATACAGGTCGCACCTTCCAAGCCTTGTCAATCGTAGCAGCGCCCGCGGCTGAGCTCTGAAAGTGAAGGTATCTCATGATGGTACTAAAACGATCCCGAGACATGTATCTGTTGAACGTTCCTCGGGTATCGCTCCATCCTCCTGTGTCCGCCAGTGCTTGTCGAGGCCATCCGTTTGACTGCACAACGACCGCGCTATCAGCAGACCCACCACGTGCAAAATTTCGTGAGCCTTTATCGATCTTGTCTTCGTCAGCTTCTCCACCAATGCTTCTACTGGTTGTACTGTCTTCTTGGGGTCCTTTGCACTAGCCTCGAGCTGCTTAGCACGCTGGGCGGCAGCGACACTTAATATACACTCGATACGATACGCCTCGGACTCCTTCGCAATGTGAAACCACAACTTCTTAGGGAGAAAGTAGAAAAATATACCCAACGGCGAACTGGCGAAGGCTGCGGCAGACCTGGTGGGCCCCCATGTTCCGTTGTATAAGTCGGTTGCTTCATCAAGCTGTAGGTCGCCTGTACTCCGGATTATACAGAATTACAAACATGTTAGAAAAACTACCAGGCACAGCATAAAAAGAGGCAGCTGAAAGTACTCTGTATGATACTATCTTACCACAATGGTTTTGATCATAGATCTCCCCACCAGAAGCAGCCATCGTGCGCATAGCAATATCATCTTGTGCAAATTCGCTGCTGTCGTCTTCAAACTCGTCATCTGATTCCACCTCGCTTTCGTATAATTCGGATAGGTCCCCAGGAGCATCGACAGGATCTCTAACAGACTCAACGTCTTCTTGAGGTGCCAGGCTATGGTCAGCTATGCTCACATCGTCCGCATCAACAGGCCCAAACAATCTTTCAGATCTCATCGCGTCGATAAAGTGTGGGGAATCGAACACATCCAGACCGGTCCAACTGGTCGCAACCTCGCCACATCCTTGTTCTGTAGGAGCCGTCACACTACCTTCGACGTCATCACCGTGCTCTGTATCTGCCGCCGCAGTCGGTTCCGTATCTGCCGGCGCAGTTAGCTGCATGGCATCAACTTGCTCGGTATCCGCCGCCACAGTCTCCTCCTCGGCGCCCCCTTGTTCTGTATCCGCCGGCACAGTCTCCTCCTCGGCGTCCCCTTGTTCTGTATCCGCCGTAGCAGGTTTCTCCACGTCGCCCCCTTGATCTGTACCCGCCGCCACCGTGTCATCTTCCACTGCACCAGACAAGAGGGTTCGCGAGGGCATTCGTTTCCTTGCAGCTGCATACGCGGCCTGCTTTCCCATTGGAGGCCGTCCGGCAGTTATTGGGCCCCGAAAAGAGGGGGTAAGAGGAGGTATCAACCCTTCTCGCATAGCAAAACCCCACAACGCTTTTGTGCCTAGTACATTCAGCGTTAGAAAAAAGCAAGTCATGTTTATGGCGGGCAACACGCACCAACAAAGTACTCCACTCCTGCCTTGTCCTTACGAAGCCGACCTTTCACGCCTGGTTTTACATAGGTGTGCTTCGAGTCCAGGCCTGTCGGCGGTCGTGCCCTCCATCCAGCCTTGATCAGAGAGGCCCATAAACGCTTGAACTCCTTTGGGTCAATCCACTCCGTCATTTCTGGACGATTTCACGAAATGGTGGGCGAGAAGATGGGATGAAGTTAGAATTTTAAAACCTATGGACGAAATGCGTGGGCGAGAAGATGACGGGACGAAGTTAGAATTTTGAAACCTCTGGGCATTTTATATTGCCTTTTCTATTGCAGAGGAATAATACCCGTCTATCTCCCGGTCTGCCCCATCCCCACAAATACAAACTCCTATATGCGCAGAATCGCTGTCGCCAATTGCGTATATAAGCTTGCAGCATACTTCCCACTGTCATATTCCATATTCTGTATAATACAGAACACCGGGCTTAAAGGGTTAAGAAGTCTTGGAGAAGTCTTCACCCTATAGTTTTCATTAATCAACCTATTAAGAAGTCTTGGAGAAGTCTTCACCCTACAGTTTTCATCCTGCTCAAAATTTGTGCACCGTGTCGAGAGGGGACACATATCCGTGCACCGGAATAGGTAATTGCCGTATGAAAAAAATAACGTCGAAATCGACATCCGCAAAATGGACTGCACGCACCGAAAATAAAACGTATTTTATTGGCGTTTGTAAAATAGATAGAATGTAACAGCACCACCAAATCGGGCGTGCTGGTGATGCGATGCCAAGTGTATGCAAGCTGTTCGAGCAATCAAAGTCATGTAATACATGTTTTGCTCAATTAGTGAAAAGAAAGTTGAAGCTGTCATGACAATTAATTTGTGTTCGTGCACCAGTACAGCCGCGACAACAACATTCATCGGACTTTGATAATTGGAGGCCTAAAAAAATACAATCAATTGCTAATATCCGGCGGAGGGAGTAAGTTATTAATAGGACAGGTGTGCCAGCTAACCAAGGAGGAGGCTGCGAGGGTTGATTCACAGCCGTCACACGAGTTATAATGTAGCGAATTGTCACTAATCCGTACCAAAATAGAGCTAAAAGTTGATTCATGGCGGTACATGTCGGTCAAGCGGCATCATCAGCTTATGCGCATCGGTCAAGCAAAATTGGGTTATTAATCCATGTATCTACACAGAAATTGCTGATGTACCCAGTACAAGTATTTAGCTCATCCGGTACATGAGCGGAGACGAGATATTCTCACTGCTGCAGGATCTGGACAAGTGCGTACGAGCTCCTTTAGTTAAGTACTGACAAAGTTGGCCCTTTTCAGTGCAGTCACGTACCATTGCAACGCTCCGTTCTTGTGTCGGGCCGATTCGATCCTATTTTGGCAAATACGTCATGCCCATTTCTTCAAATTTGGCTCCAATGCTAATTACCTTTTTCTCATGGCGAACTCGTCCCAAGAGAAACGCGGCGATCGAGCCAATCAGCGTGCGTTGATGAAATATCGTCACCGTCGTCTTCGTGTGCTTCAGTCCATTCTGAGCCACAGACACTTATTACCATAATCCAAGTCTCTTTTTAGAGCTCAAGCGGCATCTGCGCATATAAACCACCAATACCCACAAACCATGAGCACGATCGAAGCCAGCTCGGAGCGCTCGTCATGGAAGACCGAGAACCCCAATCAGGCGCGTGATGCCATCTCCTGGGACGCATACACTAGCGGTCTCAAGGCAGGCGCTGTCGCCGCCGTATTAGCCGCGGGAGCGGTGTACTCTGCAAACAAACACTGGCCGGCTTTCCGCAACCGCCTGAACGTGAGTGGCAAGACCGCACTGGTGGTGTCGCCCTTCCTCGCAGCCTTCACACTTGAGGCTGAGACCCGTTTGATGCACGGAGCACGCAACCCAGAAATGTACCTTGCCACAATGGACGGCACGTACGTGGAAAAGGAAGAGAAAGTGTCGCAGCTCAAATTCTGGCAGAAGAGTGCCAACTTCCTGTATGACCACCCGTATCGCGCTCTGATCACCGTTGGTGTGCCGCTGGTAGGCGGAATCTATAGCTACCAGCACCTGAACAAGGGCATCTCCACTTCGCAGCAGATCATGCACACGCGTATCTACGGCCAAGCGGCTGTAGTCGTTATGCTGTTGAGCTCTATGGCCTTCCACGACTACATGGCGAAGCGCGGCAAGTTCACAGTCGAGGATAATGAGGACTAAAGCGAATTCAGGATATTGTAGATGACAGCTCGAGACGGATCATACTCACCCCTCGATGGCAGAGGCTTTTTTGTAAGTCTCACTTTGTCTCCATTTCGAAAAGATTTTCCATTTTGCAGGCTCGACTACCCAAAAGTTGACCAAAATAAAGTGATTTTTTATTGTACGCGGCGACCTTTTGCTTCGTCTTGTAAATTTGGATAATCGACGAGGAGTTTCACAATGTCATCGCATTTTTCGGGTCATGGCTCAAGATGGCATCAGTTGGGAGAACGCTCTGGAACAAGATGACAGCCAAGCCTCTTGTCCGCCCGAGCGATGTGGACGTGCAGACGCTGGTGGCGCCATTACCTCCAGGCGTGGAGATGCCACGTCGAACATCTTCCAAGCCAAGACGACGACGCACCAGCAGCGGCAAAGCCAGCAAAACCAAGCCCATATCCAATGCGAATACGAACACAAACCGGCCCGACGGCTCGCGCGTGACCCAGCAGCAGTGGAACATGTGGGAACCTGTGCTGACGCTCGGGTGGTCGATCGGAATCTGCTTCGCTCTAGCGGCGGTATGCATCGGGCTTGGAATTCTGATCGTCTACACGTCGGGTACACTCACGACTCTGCGCGTAGTTTACGACGGTGGCGACGAGGCACAAGCGACGCAGCCGGACGGTAACGTCACGCATCTTTCCAATTGCCGCCTTGATTCATCGAATGATTCCAATTCATTCCACGCCGCCCATACCTGCTACGTGCATCTGAAGCTTCCGAACGACATCAAGAGTCCTGCACGAATCTTCTATGAGCTAGACGGGTACTACCAGAACCACCGCCGCTTCGTGTCGTCCGTCATCCGTACACAGTTCACGGACGAATGGCGACCAGAAACAGCCACCTCCACACTCGAGTGTCATCCCATGAAGTCTATCACTTCCGAGCTCTGCACGGTAGGCGTCTGTGAGCCCGAGTCAGCTGCCAGGTATCGCGAGTTTTTCCCGTGCGGTATCGTGGCCAATACTCTGTTCAATGACATTTTCTGGCTGCACGAGGGTATTTTGCCGTCGGGAAAGAATCTTACGCGCACGGATATGACGTCCAGGGGAATAGCACGTAACTACGCTGCACACAACAACAAGAATCCGACCTGGGATGTCTCCACGGACACCTACCTGCCTGTGTGGCTCAACCCGAACATGAGCCGCATCATCCCTCCGCCCACAGGCTCAACAGCTCCACATATCACTTCCGACTACACGAACAGCACCGCTTGGGTGCACGATGCGCAAGACTCGTACTACGGTGTAGGCGTCGGTCTGGAGAATGAGTTCTGGCGCGTGTGGGTCGAGGGCGCCGCCATGCATCCGTTCCGCAAGCCCTACGGCCGCATCGAGCACGATCTTCCAGCCGGTACAACGCTCACCTTTGCCGTGCAATCCAATTTCTTCGTACGGTCGTTCGGCGGTGCCAAGGCGTTGGTACTGGAAGAGGTGGGCTGGTTCGGCAGTACTAACTACATTCTGGGAGGGTTCTTCCTGGGCGTTGGCGCCATTTTCGCAGTAGCTGGCATCTTCTTCACAGGTCGCAAGCTGTACAACCCTCGCGCGCTTGGAGATGCGTCCGCGTTGGCGTGGAAGAAGAATTTGTAGCGGACGTTGCTAGTCGCTGATATTAACAAAGAGGTCCTGGACAACTTTTGCCTTCGCTCTTGTCCTTCTTAGAGAGGTAAGTTGATGAATGAGGGAAGTCTGTACCCTTCACACCCTTCACCAATCTGGTCAATCTTTGACAGATCCGAGATAAACCCGCGTGATCGTTTCGTTTACGATTTCGTCCACTTTATGTCCATCTGCTGACGTACTTGAAGAGAAATGTCTTCTTAGAAGTCATCTGTTACCATGAAGTCTTTTGACTAGGTGTAGGGGCGTTCACCCCAACAAAATGATCACGCGCCCACTGAGAGTCTCAGTGAGACCCTGAAGAGCTGTCCGACCCACTCACTACAAGCACCGTCGAAACCTCAGGGGTAAGTTCATTCTCCAAATCTCCACGTCGAGACCAAGTTACATCCCATCATAAGTGTCAAGCTTCAAAAACGCCATGAGCTCCGTCGAACACAACGCGTCGTGGGAGTCCGCGAACCCGAACAAGCGTCGCGATGCCATTGCGTGGCACGCGTACACTAGTGGCGTCAAGACCGGCGCAATGACTGCCTCGGTCGTGGGGGCAGGTGTCCTCTCTGCCAACAAGTATTGGCCGGCGTTTCGCAACCGTTTGAACACAAGTGGCAAGACCGCGTTGGTGGTCATGTCGTTCCTGGCTTCGTTCACAGTTGAAGCCGAGAATCGACTAGTGCATGGAGCGCACAACCCCGATATTTACATGGCCACTATGGATGGCACGTATGTCGAAGAAGAGAAAGAGGTGTCCAAGCTCAAGCTCTGGCAACGCGGAGCCAACTTCCTGTACGATCACCCGTACCGTGCGCTTGCCTCGGTCGGTGTGCCGCTCGTCGGCGGCATCTACAGCTACCAGCACTTGAACAAGGGCATCTCGGCCTCGCAACGAGTGATGCACACCCGTATCTACGGCCAGGCAGCGGTGGTGGTGTTGCTGTTGAGTTCGATGGCGTTCCACGACTACATGGCTAAGCGTGGCAAGTTCGGCGAGGAGGAAGAGGAGGAAGAGGCGCATGCCTAAGTCAACGGCAGAGACAGTTAGGTTGCGACAGGAAGAGGATGCCGAAGGCGAAGGCTGCCATCCCTGTCGATAGTTTTAAAGTACAATCCATTTATTTTTTTGTTTTGCTACGAAGCTGCGAGTGTGTTGAGCCGTGTCAAGTTTAGAGCGATGTCTTCACAAGCGTTAATGAGGCAGCTCATGATGATGAAGTCTTCCATTGTGACGTGTTGGTCCTCGTCGTCCAGCGACCGCAGCAAGAGTTCGCCATAGCTCTGCTTCAACGTCGCTGCTGCTTCGTTTAAAGAAAAGGACTCCACGTTTAGAAGCGCAACATCGGTGCTTTCAGTGCGAGTCTGTGTCCACCAGCGATGCCGTCTGGTAGTAGTAAACCCGGTCTCAGGAATCTTTGGCACTCTTCCGTCGCCACTACTGAGCACATACGAGTCTTGACCTGACGAGGAAGACGGCGGGGTGAAGAACATCGTTGATCGAGGCATAAGAACTCTAACGGCCGAATTAGGAAGCGTCATGAGTGCGTCACTCGTAGCAATGCTTGACTCCAGCAAATCAACGGCCGAGCTGTCGTCCGAGACATCCATCGAGGCAGGACACTCTTGTTGCTGAACCGGAGGCTCCTTATTCATCTGATGATCTGCGTTGCTAGGGATCATCTGCGTCGTGTTCTCATAGATCTCGAGCTCAAGCCGGAAGCCATCGTTCAACGCCTGCATGAACTCAGCAAAGGTGATCTGGCCGTCGTGGTTCTTATCCACGAGTCGCATGAACTCGTCGACGTACTGCTCCATGTGTACATCTCCCTGACCCCCAGAATACGGCATGAGCTTCTCCAGCAACACAACGAGCTCCGAGGCGTCCACAGCAGGCATTCCGAAATAATCATTGTATTGCTGCTTCAATACAATAGTTTACACTTAATTATTGATTTTTACAAATTGGATGACTTTGTCCAATTAGTTATTTTGTATTTACAACAAAGTACTTTATTTTTTCGTAAAATCTAGTTTTCTTTGCTTTGTTTTGCGTAAATACGGAGCTCGGTCTCCAGATGGCTGTTAGCAACGGTCGCTCAAAACGCGAACCTGAGGCGCTCGTCTATCATTTTTGATCTCACCATGGCTCTCGCCAACACCTTCACGACCAAGCACGTCTGCAGCTACTTTTTTACTGCCAGCTTGGCGACTTCCAGTCGGCCACCATGAAGCTTCAAGACGACAACGTAACGCTTCTCGATGTGCGCGATATCTTTGATGCGCTCATCGAGAAGCATTCCGTTGTGAAAAAGTATCTTGCTGCCGACGCAAATACGTGGACTTCGAGCGAGCGTGCGTTGTAGCCCTGTCAGGCGCCGTGGACGAGCTGACGAACGACCAGGAGCTGATGTTGCAGCCATTTGAGACGGTACCCGCAATTACGACACCGGACACCAGGCACGGACGCCCACAGGGCTTTGCCGACAGAGTCTTGGCGACTAGAAAAAAGCGGCGCGGTGCAAAGAAGATATTTGATGGTGTGCTTTTCATCCCGCCGACGTCAAACACCGTGGAGCGTCTTTTTAGTGTGGCGAAACATACTCTTTTCCACCATCGCCAGCGTATGCTGCCTATTCACCTTGAAACCGTGTTGTTCCTGAAGATGAATCGGCGTTTCTGGGACGCAAACACTGTAGCAGCTATCGTGAACGCAAAGTAATGTGCAGTGCTGTACATCTAAGTAGTTAATTTTCCAATACACTACTATTGATGTCAATTATTTATTTCTTAAGCTGTAGTTTTTGTAGCAATAGCTTATTTTGGCATGGACCTTCAATATGATTGCAATTGTATTATCGGAATGCCTGGTCCACAGTCCCACTGTGGTCTTTGTCAGCGATGCGGAATGCCTCCTTCATTTGGAGATAAATTGCGTAGTCATCTGCTGTTTTGTACGTGAATTCCTTGCTAAACAGCGTCACGAGGGCGTCTGACGACTCGTCCACCGCCGACTCATAGCCATACCGACTGCAATCCCACCTCGCTTTAGCCACAGCAGGCGTAGCATTCGAGGGAAGAGGCGGTAGTGGCGCTTCAGGGATCAGATCTCCAGTTGTCGGGGCCATAGCAGTAAAATACACTGTTTCAGGATGTTGAGCTCGCTCTTCCTCCTGCTCGTTGAACGCAGCAGTGCACTCTTCGTTGAGACTCCCAGCGTTCCTGCGCTTTAGACGGTAACCTTTATGGACACAGTCTTTATTCGACCGTTCCCTCCATTCCACGAGATCAGAAAGTAGTCGTAGCCGATCGAGCAGCGTCCAGCACACAGCTGGCACTTGAGTGTACTGCTCGTTCGAGAACGTGGCCTTCCACAAGCTGGGCTCAGCAGTAGCGTCTTGAACGAGCTGCTTCTGCTGCTTGAGAATTGCTGGCAATATGATGGAGAGCTCCTTGTGTAGAGCTCTCGTCCCCTCTTGACTCAGTTTTGCTGTGGCTGGATTCATTGAGCCTATCTCGTCCACACTCGGTGCTGTGGCGTCTGTGCTGGTGATATGGTGTGCAAATACTCGACGAAAGACCTTGTTATACGTCCCCAGAACCTGCTGGATGTTGGCGCGTAGTAGCCCTCGTGCACTCTGTGGCTGTAGACATACTTCCACGACCATCAAGGTAAGAATGGCCACAGAATTCTCTGTCAAACTTGAGTACGAGAGAGCTTTTGTCGTCTTTCTACAACTATGATCGAGCAATACGGAAGCGGACATGTATGCCGATACCATCCCAGCCATGCGTAGGTACGACGAGCTGTAGCAGACGTACATGGAGCCCACAATCCAGATGAACAAGACGGCGTTATTAAGTGCGTTGTAGAAGACCACGTCGGAGATCTTGCACACGAAGAAGTGGAGAATAGAGGGCACAACGGTGCCTGCCACCAGTCCAGTCATTCGATTCCTCATGTTCCCATACGTACCACCAACGTGGAATTGCGCCACCATAGCGATCGCTGTCGGGCCTGTCGCGCTGAAGGCAAACACGAACGTGGAGATGCAGTACGCGATCCCGCCAGCGTCGTACGCACGGCAAACATGATCATTCTCTTCATGTACATAGTGCCTTGGTAGATACTGCACCACACCATCTTAAAGAACTTTGCGATACGATATCGACAGGAGAAATTCTTGAGACTTAAGCGCTCTTCAAACTCAAATAAAGTGTGGACGAACGAGTGGAACGAGTAGATAAATACGTTGAGCGACATGGTCTTCCCCACATCCCCAGTAGTGTGCACCTCAGCCGACAGCATCGCACCGTATAGTTTAGTGTATTTCTTCATAAAACGACACACGGTTTGTTCCAAGTGGGTGAATTTCGGTGTGGGCATCTCTGTCGAGGCTTCGAGTACTCGTTCGGCGATCTCCTGTAATAAATCGTTGGCTTCAACTTGCATAATGTGAAGACTCTGCTGCATTCTCTTCATTAAAACCACGTGTGTCCAGTGTCCATTCTCAGCCTCGATAGCGAATTTCATCGCTCGTAAGTCTTTCAGAAGCCGAGCGTAAAGCTTGACAAACTGCTTGGCCACATTTTTATTAAACGTGAGGCACAACCCCACACCCAGGATCTCTTCCCACCAGCAATCATCCAGAAGCTCCTCCATCTCCGACAATCTGTGTTGTGCTGCGTAAAGCAGTCGGTCGAGTCGTAAGCGGAAGAAATCCATTTTCTTGATGTCTTTGACTCGGAAACAGTATGAGTCCATGATCAAGTTGAGGATCTTGCGAATGTCAGTTGGAGCATGACCCATGTGCCGCATCAGTTTCTTGGTCGCACTAACAGTTAAGGAAATGGTTAGAGTTCGGATGTTAATAAACCATTATTGGTATTAGAACTTACAAGAGCGGAGTGGGTACAGCACTGTCATCAGGCAGATCAACGTGCCAGCAACATCGATGATACTGTACACTGCTAGGTTTTTCAAAAGGCCCTTAGTGACGTAATCGCTGTTGTTGAGGTCCTTCAAAGCTGTGCCACCAGCTCTCGGATTCATGGGGTTGATAAACTTCAGCACTAATCAAGAAATAAACAGCGTTTAGCGTTAAAACAAGAACGGTTAGAGATGGTGTTGACTCGAACGTACTGAAGAAAGCATTAGACATCACCGCGAACTTCTTCACGTTGTGTTGCTAAAGATCCAGAGAAAACAAAACGATTCAGTCTTTGCACTGAAATACTCTTCAGGGGTTGACGTACGATCGGTAGCAAGAAGATCACGAAAGTGAAGGTGAGCATGAAAGGAGACACCAATCCCCAATCATGCAGACTCACAAAGTACGGCGTATCGTTCAGATTCTCCGGTACCGAGATGAGATTTCCCTGTGTGATGGGGATGACTAAGAACACTCCGAAGTTGTACAGCAACGCTATCCCCACGCCCAAGTCGATCTGCCAGATCTGCTGTACCACGCCACCAACTGTCGGTGCAGACGCGTAAATCACCATAATGGCAGCATACGCTAAGCCCTCTAAATAGTAGAACGAGGGTAGAAACTCGGAGCCTGTAGAAGATGCTGAAGACCCCGTCTGAAGAACCCCAGCCAGCAGAACCCCCGCAGCAGCTCGAGCTGCACAGCCAATGTGTCTACGGAATGCTGGACGATCCGTTAGTGCAAGGATTGGAACACCGACGTCCTCTAAAACTGCATTCGAATTTACCTCTTTCTTCAGGTCGACGACCGGTTTTCTTGACTCGCGTTACGGTTTTGCGGCCTCGAATTTCGTCGTTCGCCACGGAGGAGGAAGCGGTCGACAGCTGCTTGCGAAGTCTCAACTTCATGGACTGAGTCGTCGGCGTCGTGGGCGAATATAAGTCCATGTAGTTCTCGCCTACACCGGTCATTCCGCTTGCCATTTCTAACGCCGACGGACTTCGAGCCCTCGACTCTGGCTTGAGAGGACGCGGAATCATCGCGAGAAATTCGTAGTGAAGTTCATCTGCCGGCTTGTAGATTGGGGTGTTGCAAAACCTCGTTTAGTGGACGCTATTATCATCTGGTGAGAGAAACGACCATTCTAATAGAGTCAACCCGTGTTACGATGAGAGCATCACTACAGCAGCCTCTTCAGTGTTGAATGCTAGGATTCCATCGTGGCAGAGATTTGCCTCATTAGTTTTTCTCTTTTCAAATACAGTACTCACAATGAAACTTTAGCTAGTATTGTAGCTACAGGACAGCATCACCCTTTATCATCTATACCGTTCCAATTCCTGCTTACTCATTATACATGCCCTCAAGCTCGGAACCAAAGCGCTTGACGATAACTGGGCGCTTGAGTTTGAATGTCGGTGTGGCAAAGTCGTTCTTGGGGATGAACTGCTCCACGTGAATGTAAAATTTCTTCACTTTTTCGAAGCCGAATAGTTTGTACTCAGTTGCTAGCCGCTCCATCTCGTGAGCGATGTCGGTCTTCAACTCGGCTCCAGCTGGAGACTCGGCGCTACAAAGCATCTCAAAGGAAGCCTGAAGACCTTTACCTATCGCCCATTTGGCCACGATCTCAGCATCAGGAACGATAATGCCGACGAGGTAGCTCTTCATCGAGTCACCATGTACGAAAGCCTGTGCAATGAGAGGACTCTTGATGTAGATTCCCTCGATCTTCTCTGGGGCCACATACTCGCCTTGCGAGAGCTTGAAGATGTTCTTCTTGCGGTCAATGATACGCAACGTACCGTCCGGATTCCAGCAGCCAATGTCGCCCGTATGCAGCCAGCCGTCCTCGTCTATCACCTCCTTCGTGACGTCTGGCTGCTTGTAGTACCCCACGAAGAGATTGTCGCCTTTCATCAGGATTTCACCCCGAGGACAGGGCTTATCTCTACTGGTATAGTTCATCTCCGGTAAGTCTTCGAGGCATATCTGCACGTTGCCTAGCGGGATCCCAATGTGGTCTCCAGGAGGGATCTCATCGGTTGAACATGATATCACAGCTCCAGTCTCCGTCAGTCCATGACCTTCCAGCATCGTTGAACCGAATACAATCTGACAGAACTCCTTCACGTCCTTCGACAGAGGTGCAGAGCCGTTCATCATACGACGAACATGTCCACCCAGCGCCTTTTGGGCTTTACTGAAGACTAAAAAGTCCCAGAACCAATGCGTCTTGTAGCCATCTTTGAGGTAATACTTCTTCGAGGCGTAGGCTGTGTCGAACAGCCATTTCTTAAGGCCTCCAGCTGCTGCAGCTCCTTGTGTGACTTTGTCATGGATCCGATTCAATAGACGCGGGACTGAGGGGAACACGGTGGGTTTCAGCTCTCCGAGGTCGTCCATTAGCAGCTTGACATCGCCGGAGTAGTACCCGACAGCCGCTCTGCTGTAGATACACGTCGTCTGGATCACTCGCTCAAAGCAATGAGCCAATGGCAAGTAGGACAGGTGAATATCAGTCGGGAGTAGGAGAGTGAACTCCAGAGAACAAGCTGCTGCCGCCATCATGTTGGCATGAGTGAGCATCACCCCCTTGGGGTCCCCAGTAGTGCCCGACATGTAGCAGATCGTGGCCAAGTCAATCGGAAGCGGGGGATCCGCAGACACGACGTCGGTCTTGCCGTCCTCGATCAACTGACTCAACGTCATGAGCTTCACCTTGTGTTGTTCCGCTAAGATCGTTTCTTCTTCATCAATTTCATCCTCGAACTGCACTACCGTCTTGACACTGGGACATTCGTGTACTACTCCCATGAGGACTTTGAAATGTTCCTTACCACAGAAGACGATACTCATCTCTGTGTGGTTTAGAATGAACGGGATGGCAGTAGCCCCCAGTGTGTCGTACAGCGGCACCAATGTGTAGGCCATACGACTTGCACTGTGCTCGACAACGGACCATTGATAGCAGTTCGTAGCAAAGACTCCGACGATGGCGCCTCGTTGCAGCTCGAGCATGTGACTCATACCCGACGCTGCGGCCTCTACAACCGGTAGGAAGTCATTGAGCGTCACCCACTCGTAAGCGCCTGGTTTGCCCGTGACTGGGTCGGTCTTTCTCCACCCGAAGAGTTTGTTGCTTCCTTCTGGGTCGAACTGGCGACGGAGCTCCGTCAGGTTCTTGTACAGCGTCATATCTGACGTGAAGCCGCTTTTAAGGTGACCCATGCGGATCGCTCCGTGTGTGGCAGTAGCCAGAGGTTCCGAAAATGTTATTTTTATTGAGACTGGCAAAACAGCAATAAAAATAATTTTAAGTGCTTGGAGCACCACGGGTGCAAAAATTATTGGTGTTATTGCATGCAACTAGCCGAGTGCCGCCGCTACGCGGCGGGAAAGAATGAATGTCGTTCCTTGTATTTTGCCTCCGTTCCGCTCGCCACGGGCTCGCTTCACTACTCGCACGGTAGGTTGGTAGATTTGGCTCAGGCGGGCCCAAAGGCCCGCAGGGTTGCAAAAGGTGCCGATTTGGGCCGCCTCGCTGCGCTCGGCAGCTTTGAGGCCAATCGGGGCCACCTTCGCTGCGCTCGGCAGCCAGTAGGAATATTTAAATTATTTTATCCAATGATTTGTCCGGAAAAGCGTGACAGGCACGACAATTTAGTGTGACGGACAGACAGGTTGCTGCAGTAGATGTTTAACCCCTTGAACGCGAAGGTTTTCCAGTGCACCCATTTACCGAAACCCTTTCGACGTTAACGTGTATGTCGGGGAAGGGTTTTAATAGTTAGACTGGTATAAAATTAATCCTGTAGGATGGTTAAACGCATTGAACCCCAACACCTAGGATGGTGAAAATTTGATATCGTGTATCCTACAAGAATATTTGACTTTGAAATACACTATACCAAGATATCGTGTCTAGGAACGTACAAAAACTGCTCACAGCCCAGCGCACTTTTCTCCTAAATATAGACTTCAAGTTCAGGTAAAAAGGGAGATACAGATTTCATACTTTTATCAAGACATATAAGATTGCAAAATCATCTGCTTAAGGTGTCGCAGCGTCGTTGTGACGTCTCTTTGACGGCCTACTGGTGTCATCATCCCCGCTGTCACCACTCGCAGACTTTGCTTCTTCGACACTACCGGCGGCTGGCCTGCGCGCGCGGATCTTTCGCTTTCTCTGTGACGGCGGCAACAGGCTGCCGTTACGCCAATGCTTGTGCCAAATCTCGAAGCACGAAACGGACTCACTGTTGTTTGCATGCTTGACCTTGTTGCACAGGTACACACGCGACGCCAGTGGCTGCTTTGAGCTTGTGTGTAGCTTGCAGGTGCTACAGTAGAATGTAGTCTCGCCCCCTCGCGACTCGTCGGAGCCCTTAAGCACCGAGCATACTTTGCATGCTCGTTGACGTCGCTTTCGACCTTTCCCGTTGTTTCCATCCCTCCACTCATCCACCTGCACCGGTACGTGGGTTCGCTGCATTGGCGGAGCGCGTGACTTCTTCGGGTACGCTCCACCGCGCGGAGAGCATCCCAATCCGTCTCCTGCAACTGCGTCAGCTCCAAATGTAGTTGCTTCAGGAACTTGACATGGCTGAGCTTGGGTTTTCCATCAATAGCACGCCGTCGATTGTACACAATAAAAGCATTGACTGTTGCCAGGTCGATGAAGCCCAGAAAAAGCGACTTGTAGTAAATCTTATACTTTAGAGCCAATGAAGAGAGTACCTTATACAACATGAATTATACAGGGTTAGCATCAACACTATCTTGTACATACAGCAGAAATGTACTCACCTTTGGAGGCGAAGTTGATCGTGTACATCAACTCCGCCCATGAAAGTTCGGTAATGTTTCAGCACTCTTGGACATGCCACCTCGACTTGCTCGCCAGACTTCGCTCGGCGAACTACGCGATCTTGCTCAGTACTTCCACCCGCACACAGCAAATGCACAGGACGGTTGTCCCACCAACACACTGCTTTCATACTCGGCACTAATGTGACTCGGCAACAGCGTAGGTACCGCGGTGTACATCAGCAGGCCGCTTCTTCTTCTTCACGATAATCTCTTTGCAAAACCCACCGCGGGTTGGTCATCACTGTGCCTATACTGTAGAACCCCATTGCTAGGAGCTGCATGGAGAGTGTCGGTGACGTGTAAAATCGGTCAGTGACCACTAGACGTTTTTCGATGGTTCCTCTTGCTCCAAAAACTTGCCTCAGGTTGCGAATAACGGCAGCTGGTCCACAGTTGGTGTCCTTCGAAGAGGATGACCTGTCCGTTTGCCACTTACCACAGTAGACTTCAAACCTGTATCATACACATTTATGTTGTTACATACTTGTATCCTACAGCTTAAGAGAACTTTACAACAACAAAAAACGGAGCGTGCCGTGAGGCACGCTCTCAACTCACCTGAGACAGTATGCTGACGCAGAGCAGCACAACATGAAGAGCTTGGTCCCCCATTTATGGGGCTTGTCCTTCATGTAGACTCTCACCGGTTGAACGTTGATCTTGAAGGCAACATTGCCTCATCAAATGCCATCACTGGAGGCGGTATGTAACCCGCTTTAAACTGTTGTTGGAGCGCGTCGATCACAGGACGCAGCTTCCAGGCACGATCTGTTGCGGCGCGGGGGTCGTTGTTGCTGCTGAAGTGGAGATTTCGAGAGATGTGCATGAAGCGATCCCGCGACATGAAAATCCCGAAGCGTCCACGAGGAATTCCTCCTTCGTCTGTCGTCTTCCAGTGATTCTCCAGCTTTTCCTTGTTGGGAGCAATTGTTCGAGCAAATAGAAGCCCAACAAATACGCACAGCTCTCGAGCAGTGATAGGTGGCGTGGAGAGTAATACAGCCTTGATCGCATCGCGCGTGCTCTTCTTGAATCCAGGAATCTTCTTTTCTCTTTGTTCCTGCTTCGTGTACTGTCCTTCAACCCGTTCGTCGATCTTTTCATCAAAGTATTCGTTGCTTGCCTCCGCGATGTCTTCCCACAAGCGAGGCTGCATGAAGTAAAATAGCACCCCAGAAACTGTCGTGGCCGCTTCTAGACTTCTCGGTGTAGGTCCGTAGTGTTCTCGGAACAACTGCGGGTAATCCTCTTGCATATTCGCCGTGCGAGGCTCATAAGGCTGGTCGAGATATGGAAATGGACTGTATGATACAGGATTAGACCATCCATTGCTTGCCATATCCTTCAGGATATCAGCGCTAATCGTGCCGCTTGTAATACTAGCCATACCACCAACCGCAGTTAAAAGATCGTCGTCAAACAATGCTTCTGCTGGATCTTCATCATCTTCTTCCAGCTCGTCTTCGTCTCCGCCTTCCGTTTCATCTCCGAGTGCACTGTCAGCGCCGTCAGAACACCCGTCATCGTTTTCAGCATCGGAGACCATGGCTTGGTATTCCTCAGGATCGTCTGCGTCTACAGTAATGTTGATATCTGGTACAGCACAAGAATACAATCTACGATCAGTATCCTGTATCACAAACGTGTATATACGATCTAAAACGCACCATCACAAAACGCAGCAATCCTTGCCGACCGGCGAGGACCCGTATTCTCTCCTTGTCGTACGGTCTCATCAACCTCGTCAAACGCCGGGTCCAGATTGCGTTGAATCTCGGGATCATCTTCCGAGCTTGGCTCATCGTCAGACTGGAGGCTATAAGTCATACGAGCTGACACGTCGGGGTACTCGACTCGTGGGGTCGGAGAGAGATGAGGCGATGTGCAGCGCAACGTTGGTGAAGGCTGGCTGCCATCACTATCACTGTGCGAGACGCCATTAACTCCATCTACAACACAGCAGCAATATACATGTTAGATCGCACGCTAAACGGTAAAATACAGGTAAACACAGCATCATACCTATGACTGGCGTTGGTTTTTGGGCAACAGCATCATTCGTGTCTCTGCTGTCTTCATTTTGCTGATCACCACCTTCTGTATTGCTCTCCTCGCGTAACGTAGCTGCTGTAAGTAACACGTTTGTATTATACATCATTAGCCGGCAGAATATCGTGTATATTCAAGACCAAGCATCACAATACCGCTAGACGTGGCATCGACGTCTTCCTGAGGCTCAACGCATTCAGCAGTCGTAGCAAAGGCTGCTTCTGGTAGTGTAGGCTGCTGTGCTTCTTTGGCAGCTTTCTCTGTTTCAATATAACACGTTAGACTGTCATTATGCGATGCAAAATAATTCAAGGTCTTACCAAGATCAATGCGGTCTAAGTAGCGCATTAATTCCTCTTCTCCGACGAAAAAATCGACGCCACGGGTGTCCTTCTTGGTCTTACCAGGCTTCAAGTATGTGAAGTCAACCGAGAGGCCAGCCGGCCTCTTCGAAGACCAGCCTTCCTTCTTCAGCTCAGCCCAGCGGGCGCGAAAACCTGACATCTCTTGGACTCGGCGCAAATTTTTTAATGAGTGAAATGAGTGGCGTGTGAGCTATTGACTGTAAGAATTTGTCGTACGTTGTCCACACCACACTAAAACCTCTTAGACTTAATTTTTAGAAAATGGAAAGACGCACTTCGAGCCGGAAAGAAGTAGGTGAGACAACCCGGCACCCCGTCCCCTATTTCATTTAAAGTTTGTATACCTCTATACAAACGTCAAGTCAAAATTCCTTATCGTGTATGGTCCAGGATAAGCTTTTTCTGATATCGTGTCTAATACAGGCCGTCGCGTTCAAGGGGTTAAGATATACAGTGGGCTGATACTCGTCTAGTTGGTGGGAGCCTCACCACGCACAACCTTCCGGACTGTGGCAGCGTTCCAGTAGGCTCAGTTCAGCGACCAACCATCAAAATGAGAGGACAAGAGTGCGGCAGATCGATCGTAGATTGCGGTTTAGCTGGACCGCTGGTCTGTAGGGCTTCATCAGCCCGGTTAAAGGTTATTGCCTGGAGAGACCGCAGAATAAATTATTTGATTTTGAAATGGGAGCTCGAAAATAAATTATTTTACTGCAAAATAAAAAATATATTTAATAAAAATAACATTTTCGGAACCCCTGCCAGTAGCGCTGTCTTCCAACTCGTACGTGAACTGCTTCATTGGTGCTTTGGCGTGGGGTATGCGCAGAGTTGTGCTCGGGGGTCGGCGGATTGCAGACTGGACGAGTGTGGATTTAACGGACACCCGGGTGAGTGAGCACTTGACTCTTCGAAATGAGGCTGGGCTCGGCTCATTCCTTAGGCAACGATGATGCACTTCATCTTGCCTCATTCCTGTCCCTATCTGGTGCCATTCCTGGTACAGTACTGTACATTTAGTGGGCCTCCACTGGTGGCTCAGAATTAGTTAGAACGAACTCCATAACACACATGTGCAGATTTCTTACATTAAAATCTAACGCTATACGGGGGGGGGGGAAGAGGGGGGGGGCGATACCGTCACTTTTTGTTTGGCCGCTCACGATGCCATCACCAGCATTGCCGCGAAAGCGACAGTGATAACGGCAGAGACGGAGGTAGTTGCGGCAGTCGTAGCACTGGATGATCCGCTGGCACCCGAATCGGACGCGACGCTGGCGTCATCGCCGACGCTGACACCGCCGTCGCTACCGATTTTGGAGCTGCCGACGATGTCGATGCCCATGGAGGCAGAGGTCGGAAAATACAATACTGTATTGTATTGATGGCAAAGTTTTGCCGCAATAAAAATTTCAATATGAGCACTCCCAATAATAAAAATTGCCGCAATTGAAATATATTGGAGCAATATCTAGCTATGTCTTGCCCTTCCGTGTACTCTTGCACCAGCCATGATCCCCGTGAGTATGCTGGCCCGGTAGTCGACTGGCCAAGCCACGCCAAGCTCGTCATCATTAATAGTCGTTATCATGTTCTGTGGTAGGTCTGACGACGGCTAGCCAGGTTAGTTCTTGAAACCCCACCCAAGAAACTAAAAAGTAGTCTTGCCGGTCTTGACTAGTTTTCTTAGCGTATATACTATCAGCAACATATAAGGCGGGGCCATCATCGAATTTTGAAGTTTCATCTTCTGAGTCCGTGTTACTCTGGAGAGCCCTCCATGTTTCATCTTCTACTGTCGTTTGACGTTAGCAAGTGCGAGGAGTTGCTTGTTTCGTTTGCTTTTACGTAACCGGGAAGTCTGGAAATGTAGCTGCTGCTTCACAAGCGCACTATACTAGGCAGCGGCTGAACCTACAATTCTTATCTAGAGGACGACACAACACTTAGGCCCTGTTCCGCAAAACCTCTAGAGGTGAACAGCGGATTTGCTTTTCCTCTGGGTTGAGACATTCCGCTGTTTCGGAGAATCCGCTGGAGCCGCATGCGGAACACCCAGATTTCAATCTATTTGCCGTGTAACGAAACTCTGCAATATGATACGTGAAATTATAAAAGAAAATAAAGTTTATTAGAAAAAGAGATGAGCAAAAAGATCTCAGATTCAATCTGAGTCTGAATTGTCCGTCAGCAGGTACTGCTCTACCATATATCGGCGGCTTTCGTCGTCCATCCCATAAAACATGGTTGCCGCGTTCGGTTGAGTTGCTAGTAGCTTAATGAACCTGAAGCGCTGGTGAACTGGGACTTCGTCCGTAAACATATCCTTAGATTTTAATTGCTTCGTCCGCGCAGGTAAGCTGTCGGCTTTTGATGTGTCGAGTACTGATAGAGGCCGCAATCACCTTCTGCGCGTCAGCCATAGCTCTCATCGAATCGCTCATTTTTTCCCCAGTGGTCTTAAGTCGTTTAGGTGAAGGTCCAACAATTGACACGTAATCTGTACTTTGACGGCGAGAGGATCGACTTCTATCAGTTGTTTCTGACCCTCCACTGTCGTTATCGATATTGCGATTGAGCCCTGATATGTTCTGAGATCTGTATTGTTGCTCGACATTGCATGCCTCTCGTTCTGCTGCACTTCTATCGTCAGTCGAACCTTCATCGCCGGAGTCGTTGCTTAGTCCACTCAGAGACGACGGTGCCGGTCGTGCAAGGCTTATAATATGCTCATCGTAAACAGCGAATGCACCGGTTGCAGCGGTGCGAGACATAATTATGTCCAGTTCGTGGTACATAAAGAGAGGTCTGCTTTTGAATTCTTTTGCTTGAGGGTACACAGCGATTAAGTCGTCCCACACAGAATCTGGAGCCGTAGGCATCCCTGTGGTAGGGTCCCACCCAAACCCACTGTTTGCCTTCATTGCAGCGTATGTCCTGTATTTCTTTTTCAGCTCTGCAATCTTGCTCTGCAGTTGCTTTCGATCTCGTGTCTGGCCGGTCAATAGCCCGTCGTTGAATGCTCTGACAATGCGATTCCAATTCGCTTTCTTGAAGTTTCCATTGTATGAATCACCAAGCCGCACGACTTCATCTAAGACAGCGTTGATGAAGCGAGCTGTAAGGTCTTCAGTCCAGCCAAATGTCATAGCTCACAAAGCTGATGATGCCGGAGCTGTGTTGGCTTTCGACAACTGAAACGGGTCCAGCAATGATTCGTAGGCCCTCCCAAAAAAACAGACTCTCCAAAAAGAAACCTTGGTTGAGAGTTTGGATATTTTTAGTTTTAGCGCAAAGATATTACTGTGGGTGCAATACCTGTTTTTATATTCTATTATTGGCTTATGATGCCGACAATTTCATCCAGAATGCTCATCGAACCATTCCCTAATTGTGCTATGGACGCATCCAATGAGGAAGGCAACATATCGGATGACGGAGAAGAAGATCAGATTGTGCTCGTTATGACAGGACTAACGTCGTACTGGTCGTATATTCGAGCTCATTTTGCAAAAGAGGGTTGCTGTACATCGATACTAAGCGGCGCTATGTACTACGAGGAGCTGTTAAACAGTCGAAGTCCGATACGCTTCTCGAATGTCGCTCGTATGAGTGTACAAACTTTTCATTTGCTACTTCGTGAATTAGAAACTACCCGATTGCTACCATCAACGTCCAGAATTCACAGCGGAGAGCGCTTACTAATTTTCCTGTTCATACTTACCGGAAAAAGTAATCGAGCAGCACAAGATCGATTTCAACATGGGCCGGCGACAATAGGCAGGATTGTTCGGCAATGTTTAGCAGCAATTAAGGCTCGATGGGATAAATTCGTTTGTCTCCCCAACAGTACAACCCCCGTCGAGATTCAGCAATCTGCAAAGTTCTTCCCCTACTTCAAAAACTGCTTGGGAGCTGTAGATGGAACTCACATCCCAGTGGTTCCTCCCGCTTCAATTGCGCCGCGGTTCAGAAACAGAAAAGGTTTTCACTCCAGTAACGTGCTTGGGGCGTGTAACTTTGCAATGGAATTTGTGTATATCCTCCCTGGCTGGGAAGGTTCTGCACATGACGGTCGAGTACTAAAAGATGCTGTTAGTCACAATTTTCATATCCCGAAAGGTACGTAACCTCACTTGTCATGAAAAAAACTTTACATAATTTTCCTATTGATGCGGCCTGTGTAGGTAAATACTAGTTAGGAGATGCTGGCTACGCGTTAACCAGCTACACAATGACTCCTTATAGAGGAACACGTTATCATCTTAAAGAGTTCGGCGATGGTCAGCAGAAACCACAGACAAAAGAGGAGTTGTATAATCTGCGTCATTCATCGCTGAGAAACGTTATCGAAAGAGCGTACGGAGCTATCAAATTCAAGTTTCCAATTCTGCTACACATGACTTCATATGCGCTTGCAGACCAGATAGGTCTAATACAGGCCGCGTTCGCAATTTTCAACTTCATTCGTCGCCATGGCGATGAATGTTCAGACTCAGACGGGTCCACCAGGGAAACCGAGAACGTAAGCGACGAAGTAGAAGACGCAGGGGACACACATACGGACGCTACGGACGACAGCGATATGAAGAAGCTTCGAGATGAAATAGCATCGATGATGTGGCAGAACTACCTTGTGACTCTTGCTGGAAGATACGGTGAGGTCGTAGTGTAGCTAGTTTTACACCACTGAACAATTTACAGTAATGCCCAGCACGTGCACAATGTATAAAAGTCTGCGAGGCTATTCCACGCAGATCATATTTGCTATTACAGGGCTTTGTCAGTCCACTCGCTAAAATAAAACTCTATCTGACCGAATTCGGGCGGATAGAGGATAGAAGATTTCGAATCGATTTGCTCTCGAATCCGCATTCGGAGCACGCAGAGTTTTGAGTGATCCGCTGGATGGTAAAATTCCGCTGAAATGGCCTCAATCCGCTGGAATTTGTACCTGCGGAACATGGCCTTAATGATATGTGGTGATTATTCTTGACAAGATAGCGAGTCAAGAATAGTTTTCTTGACTGAGCATCTTGTTAGAATATTTGTTTCTAAGCATCGGAATGATGTAGCAACTAATAATTTGTGCTATTAGTTGAGATTAGAGTAGCCTGTCCCTTTAGTTTGTTTCAGCTCGTTGCCGCAAATATTGCAGCGAAACAGCCCTTGACCTAGTATTGTGAAGAAGTAGGCGGCGATTTGCTTGTTTAGGACCATCGTAGTTCAAAAATGAAGTGAAGTTTGAGTTGTGGCTCGCGTATCGTAGCTTACCAAGACACTCTCGTAGCCACCGGTTTCAGGTTGGTGTGGAGATAGTGTGATGAACAGCAAAAATGATGTCATAAGATCTGATTGGTGATGTCATATCGAAACAATTAAACGGTTCCTACCAGGGAGCCTTTTGCCATATTTATTGTCAATAATTGGTCCAATACCAATTGTATCGATAAGCTCAACTACCAATAATACATATTTATATTGCAAAACCCAATAATTTATTGAATCGCAATTATTATTTCCGACCTCTGCATGGAGCTGCACTTGTTCACAACAGGGTCCACCAGGTCGCTCATGAGGTTGAGATTCTCGTTTAATGGCAGTGTGCAATCTTTCGGGCTGATGACGAGAATTGCGGACATGAGTGAGCGGCAAGTGTCGGTCTCGCAGATGGTCACGAGCTGCTCGTCCGACGGAGCTCGGCAAACACGACGCCAGAGACGCTGTTGTGTTGGTGTTTGTGAGCAGTGCACCGAGCTCGGATTGCTGGCGCACTTCAACGGCGGCGGCTCGTTCGGCGAAGAGGGAGGTGACTGCGATGGTCAATGCGAGAGCGGCGACCTTGTTCATTTTGCTTGGGCTTTGACGTGTGTGTCCCAGAGAGCACGTTGACTACACTAAATGAGCTTTGTAAACCCTCTATATTGTTGCCAGCAACTTTCTGGACGACATGTCGGAGTCCAGCCTGGACGACCAGCTCTGCTTGGCGTTCGCTGTTCCACTAACGTCGGAACGGATAAGAGAAATTCCAGTAGAGACTCCAGTAGATATCCGTTTTAGAAAAATAATTATCGACTGAATTCGTTACGTTGCACTAATTTCAAGCTTGAACTTGGCGAGTTGCAGGTCTTCACGCAACTCAACTTCGTAATGGTCACGTAAACTTGTCATTCGACATCTTTGCTGGCACGACAGCCCGTCGGACGGGATCATGGTCAAGTCCCGCCCACCATTCGCACTTCGTCCCTCGTAGCAGCACGATGCAGATTCTGCACCGCTCGTCTCGCATCGGCAGCTTCGTCGGTCGATTGGCGCCGCGTTGGTTGCGCTCGCTCTCGATTCCCAGCTCTGGGTCGACTGTCTCGTTCTCACATGAGCTCCAAAGCGAGCCTCGCGTTGCTGGGCGAGGTCCTGCTCGAGTCTGCCCCGTTGAGACGCCCTACAGGCCTCACATGACGCTCTACACCAATCTGCTTGACCGCGCCAAAGTGGACGACGGTAGTCGCCCCATGTTCGGCTCGAGGCCAGTGGACCCGACGACGGGAGCTGCAACGGGCGATTACGAGTGGAAAACGTTCGCTGAGTTCCTGGATCATGTGGATGAGACAGCGTCCGGTATGAAGCTTGCATTGGGCCTCAGACGACAAGACACGGTCGGAGTCTTCAGTCGCTCGCAGTACGAGTGGACACTCGTCGAGCAGTCTTGCAACCGGATGGCCTTCACACTCGTGCCGCTGTACGACACACTAGGTCCCAGTAGTGTGCCCTACATCCTCAACCACACTGAAATGAAGGTAGTATTCTGTGCCAAAGAACAGACAACCACACTGCTGCACTGCCTGCCCGAGTGTCCACACCTGAAGACGATCGTTCAATACGAGAGCAACTTAAACGAGCAGCAAGTAGCGGAAGCGAACGAGCGAGGAGTCAAGATCTGGGCGCTCGAAGACGTCGTGAAGATCGGAAGAGTCCACCCGGCAGACGCGGACCCGCCCAAGCCGGACGATCTGAGCACCATCTGCTACACTTCAGGCACCACCGGAACCCCAAAAGGCGTCCTGGTCACGCACGCTAACTTTGTGAGTGCTGTGAACGCTTACCGCCCCATGATCAAAGCCAACCGCGACGACGTGTACTTCAGTTTCCTACCGCTTCCACATGTGGCTGAGCGATTCTTGCACGCTATGATGATCACCGAGGGGGCAGCTATCGGGTTTTATCATGGTAAGGTGGCTCAAATTCTGGACGATGTACAGAAACTACACCCGACTGTCTTCGTGGCTGTGCCGCGACTTATGAATCGCATCTTTGACCAATTAAAGCACAAGGTGACGGCCACTGGGGACGCCAAACACGTTGAGTACTTCTACCAAGCGCTCGACGAGAAAAAGCGTTTAAACATGCTGAAACACGACCAATACGATGCTGAACTGTTCGACGGCTTCAAGCCCGTTCTGGGTGGCCGAGTGAGGCAGATTCTCACAGGTGCCGCCCCCATCACAAGCGAAGTGAAGGAATTCTTCCAGTACGTCTTCGGTGTCCCTGTTTTGGAGGCTTACGGCATCACAGAGGCCTCGGGTGGTGTCGCTTGTTCGAGTGCCTTGATGCCTCAAGGTCCTCATGTGGGCGTTCCTCTCCCCGGTCTCGCTATATGCCTGGGGGATGTACCGGAGATGAACTACTCGAGTGACGAGGGATACGGCGAAGTCTTGATGAAGGGACCGAACGTGTTCTCTGGCTACTACAAGCAACCAGAGTTAACTCAGGAAGTGCTTGATGAGGATGGGTGGTATGCCACAGGGGACATCGGTCGCTGGAACCCTGACGGTACGCTGAGTATCGTCGACCGGAAGAAACATATCTTCAAGCTTTCTCAGGGAGAGCATGTTGCCCCGGAGAAAATTGAAGGCGTCTATCAGAAGAGCAGCTTTGTCGGACAAGTGTTTGTGGACGGAGACTCGTTGCAGAATTATCTCGTCGCTGTTGTGGTGCCTGACCCTGACGTTGTGAAGCACTCGACGTTTAAAAACTGGGAGACGGATTACGAACAGAGACGCGAGTTGGAGAAAGTGGTGCTGGCAGATATGGATGCACTGGCTCATGCTGACGGTCTGCACGGCTTTGAGCGAGTCAAGAAGATTCATCTGACCTCCGAGGCCTTCACAGTGGAGAATGACCTTGTCACCCCAACGCTGAAGCCCAAAAGAGCCAAGCTTGCACAGTACTTTGCTGATGAGGTGAAGACGCTGTACGACGCAGGTAGTAAATATGAATAAAAACACTTGGGACACAGTAATGTCCACTTTTTTTGAGAGGGTTCCCTAAGGATACTGGACTGAAGAAACCCATCGAAATGTGCATCTGCCCCCCCTTAGGGATGCACTCCATCTTGGAGTCCATGCTCACGAGGCAGGTGCTGTTTTGGAATCCTGTTTTCTACGGACAATGCATCGTTTGCCTTTCATGTTTCTATTGATATCGAACGACGATTCATGATGTACAACTTGTAATGTCTCTGCAGGTCTCTCAGCCTTTCTTACAGATGTGTGTTTGAACCCGGAGACGCCCTTGCAATGCTAAATCCAGAGTTTAGTTACGTACATGAAGTGGTGATGATGGCCATGTAGTACATGATGTACGCAATAGCTTCCGTGCCTATCGAAAATCGGTGATAATCATCGGTCAACGCGAAGATTGAAGTTCAAAGTCCTTCAACATGCTTCTCTCAACAGTCGAATAATTCTGTTGGCGATGCTACTACTCAGAGTCTCACTCTTCAAATTGCTCTCAAGCCCCCAGCCCCTCTTTCATCAACCATGACTGTATCGCCCAAGGACTACACGCTCTTCACCCCCTACAAGCTTTCAGAAAGCCTCGAGCTCAAGAACCGCATCGTCATGTCTCCACTCACTCGTGCTCGTTGCGACCCCGTCACCCACGAGGCTGGACCCATGCAAGTCGAGTATTACTCGCAACGTGCTGGTGCTGGTCTCATCATCACCGAATCCGTCGCTATCTCTGTGCAAGGGTTTGGCTGGTACGGAGCTCCGTGCATGTACACGCAAGGCCATTGCGATTCCTGGAAACCAGTGGTGGAAGCTGTTCACGCGAAGGGTGCGAAGATCTTCTTGCAGATCTGGCACATTGGGCGTCAGGGCCACCCAAGCTTCAGTGGTGAGGTGGTCGGTCCATCGGCTATCGGTCCCGTCTCCGGCCACACGCGTGATGTCAATGCCGAGAAGGCTCCTTACGAACTCTGTCGTGAGCTTAAGACTGAGGAGATCCCCGAGGTGATCGATGACTTCCGCAAGTCAGCTCGTCTGGCAAAGGAAGCAGGATTCGACGGTGTCGATATCCACGCAGCGAATGGGTACCTTCCTGACACGTTCCTCCAGTCCAGTACCAACAAGCGCACGGACAAATATGGAGGTTCGGTTGAGAACCGTGCTCGGTTTTTGTTAGAACTGGTCGAGGCGCTACAGAAGGAGTGGCCTGCGGAGCGTATCGGTCTGAGCCTGTCGCCTAATGGCTTCTACGGTGACACCGGCAGCGCTGATAACTACGAGATGTGCTGCTACGTCGCTGAGAAACTCAGCAAATATGGCCTCGCCTACTTGGCTACATTGGATGGTTTCGGCTTCGGCTTCCAGGACAAGGGGCGTCTGACTAAACCGCTCGATGTGAAGAAGAACTTCAAGGGAACAGTCATGGCCGCTAACATCTACACCCGCGATACCGGTGAGGGCGTTTTCTTAAGTGGCGCTGCGGACCTTGTCAGCTTCGGACGTCCGTACATCTCGAACCCCGACTTGGCTGAGCGATTCCTCAATGACTGGCCTCTCAACGAGCCTGCCGGGTACGAAACGTGGTTCGGCACACGCATGCCTGGGCGTAGTGGATACGTCGACTTCCCTGTTTACAACGCTGCTAAAAAAAGAGCGGTAACAGCGATTGTTATCAAATCACAAGTACCATATTAACGGAAGTAACAAAACGGAAACTCGGATAAAAATAGTAGTGCCTACACTTCTTTTTCTTTCATTCTTGTGATAATGTCTGAGTTGCCGGAGCTACCGAGGTCGATAGACCTGCCAGGTCCACTGCGACGGCAGTCTTCTCAACGTCCTTCTTATCGTCATGCGAGTCTACTCAAGCCGGAGATGCCACCCCATTTACTTAAGTTGCTCCAGAAAACTCCCGAGGAACAAGAACGTGTACAGGCAGCCAAAGCGATTCTGATGGATGAGCCGGCACTACGAAATGAACAGAGTTTGGACCTCGTGTACGGCTGGATGCTGCAGAATTGCAAGCAGTACAGCAACAATATCTTCGGTGCTGCACCAGAATACATCCGTCGTGAAATTTGTCGGCAGATGAGACTCATGAAGGTGAAAAGTGGAGGTCTCGTCATTCGACAAGGTGACACTGGAGATCGCTGCTATATCGTCGTGGATGGACTGGTGGATGTGTATGTCAAAATGGAGAAACCGGGGGAGGTCGTAGCTTCGCCTCCGCCGATGTTGTCAACTATGAAGCCGCGACGGACGTCTTGGCGGTTAAGCTCAGAAGTCAACCCGGCACCTGTCGACTTCGGTGCCATGGTGGCGAACCTCGGACCAGGAGCAATGTTTGGTGAAATCGTGCTGCTCAACCCTTCAGCAAAACGAAACGCCACCATCAAAGCGTCACAGTTTACTGAAAGCTGTGATTTAATTTGTCTAGAACGTGCTGATTACATTCGTCTGGTTCGTACTGCGTCTATGGAGGCCTCGCACTATAATAACGCTGAAGTACTCGACAGAATGTTTCTCTTTAGAGACTGGGTGAAGCTCGGTGAGCTAAATTTCTTCTAACCCGAATTGAGAATCCTTTGTAGTTTTTAACTTTTTTTTTACATTTTGTAGAGAAAATGCGCCTAGTTAGTGCGATGAGATCACGTCATTTTACAAGCAACGTAACAAGTCTTCAATGATTTGTGGGAGGTAAGTCCTAGGTCTAACGTTTTGAATTGGCCTTTTTTCAGGATTATCTTTATCGAGCTGGTACCGATGCCAAGTGGATGTATATCGTGACATCCGGTGAAGTCATGGAGCGTATCAATTGGACCCTCGACGCTGGCGGGAATGATGCCGCCATGCGACGACTTCTTTTGTCGCAGTCTTCTTCACAAAAGCATCCCGAGAGAATTGTAAACGTAGAGCTAACTCTTATCGGCCCGGGGGATGTCGCTGGAGAACTACCTTTCGTCACTTCAAAGCGCGGAGCTAGCTTTGATATTAAAGCCGTGACGGATGTGCAGGCACTCGCCATCGATCGACGCTACTACGAAACGGTGATGCTTACTGCAACTCGTGACAATAAGCCCGAAGTTTACGCTACAGTGAAGAAACTGCGAACTTTCAGCCAAGACCGTGAGGATTGGCGTCAGCAGCGAATGGCGTGTGGCATTTCCTATCCCAGTGCACATGTAAATGTGTAAGTGTATTCGTTTTTTTTTTCTTTTTTTTTTTGTACTAATCTTTCGTCCCAATCGTGTCGTTGTGTCAGTACTTGGCATTTGATGCGCATGTCAAATGTTTTGTGTCCAAGATGTGGACAGCGAGGTCACTTGGCTGCGGATCTTTCCAAATGTGACAGCGCCCCACCTCGTCAACCGCCACCAAGCACCAATAATAACAGTGGGAGTACTGGAGCGAAACGCGCACCATGTGCAACCCTACTATCGCGAAAAGTGTCGACAGCAAGATCGTCAACTCAAAGGTTAGCTCTTCGCCATGTGACGGAGGGTCTAAAGTCATTTTATAACTGCGCCTTTTTCTCAGGAGGGATGACAATCATCAGCCAAAAACAGCTCGCCCAGACAACGCCGTTCGGGATCTTTTTGATGATTCTTATCTTCCCTCAGGGAAAGAACAGCTTCAACGATGCCGAGAACGAAAATTATAACCATAAATGCTTCATACTTTTGCTACTGTCCGTCGTCTTTCTGTCAGAAATTTACACAAAGTCACAGGTGAAAAATGTGCCAGGGTTTTACCCCTAAAGTACAGTAACTATGGAATGGTCTCTTATGAATATTTTGGATTTCAAACCAATTTGTTAAATTCTTTGGTCGGATACGGATTAGTTTCGTCTCACCCTCGACGCCTCTCATCACTTATAGTGAATTGTATGTTGGTTGGCTAGAGCGCGTTCAGCGAGAACAAGTTCCAGAGCAGGAAGTACTTGCTGCTGTGCTGGCACTTATAAGCATCACGTCAATGCCGGGTGCCATTCTCTTTCCACCTCACGAGGAGTTTTAGATAGATTCTCTCCATAGGAATCAACACTACAACCAAATCGGTCGCTCTATTTTTTGTTTTGTGTCTGGCGGTCGGTGTTGTGCCTTTCTTCGCCTTCGGTGATGCTGTTCAAGCGATCCATCAGCTCGCTCTCGAAAAGAATGGTATTTTTTCTAATGGTTTAAAAATGCGAACTTTGATTAAAGACCGATTAAAATATTTTTTGAATCGGTATTAAATCTTGGTCTAAAAAGCCGACTGGTCTAACACTCATAGCTACGATAGTATGGATATTAATATCATTCTGAAAAGTAGTTCTCTTTTCGTGGCCGATGCTATTCTGCGGACTTGCCATCAAAAAGTATTATGCACGTGATATTTGAGTATGAGAAGAGCAAGCATTTCTAAAACTACCTATTAGAGAACTTTCTTGCAAGATTTTGGAGCAGCATCGTCAGAAAAGGGTTAAATCCGACGTTCCAAAAATATTTTCGAGTAAGCTTCAATCGGTAATCTATCCGTCATTTACTCATTTTTTTTTTATAATACCGCTCGAAGTACCGGTATGAGGCATGGACAGCCTGCTCCAAATTACCGGTATGAGCCCCAAGCGATAAGTGATGATATTCATCCATATAAGTAAGACATTAAGACATTGTCCATTGAAGGCCACTGCCCTACCAGTGGTGAATAGAGATTCTTCCGGATAGTGATAAAATGTGGTATCACTACAAAGAGGATTGCCTGCAAAACTTGCAACTTGCACACCAGAGAACCATATTGGCTACATGTAAAGATTTGCAAGGACGCCTGTTCGCGTGACTTTGATTCGCTCTCCACAAAAACAGTCGTCGATTTAGGAAAAAATTATTTTGCAATGTTCGGCCCGAGCATTGCAAGATAATCCGAACTTCGGCACTCTGACTCAGACCACCTGGAGATGCCATATTCTGTTCTCTGACTCAGAGTCTAAGGACCGGTCTCCGCACATACTGCACGGCTGGTTTGCTTTAGTAAGATCTTGGTGACGATTTGATATGATACCCTATTAACAATATTAAAAGCCTGCGTCTCATGTGCACAGGGATTTGACTAAAAAAAGTTTATAATTAATGCTTATAAAAAGCAGCACGGATGAGAATTCTTGCTTGTACTTTTTCAATGTAGAGGGACATGTACATAGCTGTAGTTATTAATATAATAGCCACAACGTCGAGTAAAAGGAGAAAATAGGAGAAACACACCATCGCTGGGATAACACACACGGGGCTGGGCGACGTGGGTGCCATAGCCGCGGCGCCAACTAAGGTGAGTTTTGGTGCCTTTGGACCACGCAGACTCTTCGTTACACAAGTATCGCTGCTTATACCGCTCATATAATTCCGTAATAGCTCTTCTGTTCGCAAACTACTTGTATGTAATTATTTGAAGCGCCTCCTCTCCGCTGCATTTAATTTATGTTTGGTTGCAAAATGTAAAGGTATCGCCGGGATGTCACCCACTCTTGAATACCCGTCGCTCAGAAATGTAAGATACTACTGTACGTAGTAATAATCTGAAAAAAAGGAGTTAATTTAGGAACTCCTTCCGTGCGTTGCCCGGATATTATCGAAAGTAGTGCGCTTCCTCATCGTTGAAGCAATCCTTCAAGCCTAGGTATACACGAACGAAGCGCTTTATAAATGCTGGCTTGTCCCCACACGGTGCAGGAAATCTTAAGGTGTTGCGCCGAAAAAATTGGAAGCTCATTTATAGCGCACTATTAAAGACTCCTGGCTACTTGTAGTTCAGCGAAACTCAACACTACCTATACCGGTATACATGATTATGTGTCCGCGTACGATTTGTTGGTCTAGATCGCATTCATAAACGCACACTTGCTTTAGCCGCTAGGGTCTAGCGTGGGCAATTGTCACCTCATTTAAGGTGATCGATGTATCACTCCACTATACTTTAAGACACCGACTAGCAAAGCTGAGGCGTAATATGGCTACGTGATATATTACAATACATCTCCGCTGTTATCCTTTCGAACGAGACATACTCTGTTCACTCTAGTTAGTCATGCCATGACTAATTATGGTGCTAAGGTTGGAGAAGAGAATTCTGGAAATTTAACTGCCCGTTATATTAAAACTACTCGTATGTCAAACCAAACAGACTAGAAAGTAGCTGCCAAGATCTGTCAAAATTCAGTGCTTTTGTTCAGAATTGATGAGCCTTGTAAAATATTCTAGATTTGTGACGTCACTTAACGCCTTAGTTTCGCTAAACATAAGAGGTGTATATTTTTTTCGGCATCTATGTTATGTTGAGTCGCTTAACAAAAGAGAAAATTCGACTCCTACCGATCTCACGAATGCTCAATACTGACGTCAAGCCAAATGTGCGAGCCAAATGCACAGGCTACGGGTAACTGGACCGAAATATCTGGTTGAAGGGGATAGAGAGAGGCGGTGACACCTACTACAGCGGTGGCCGACAACCACTGAGCTCTTTCATTCTTGAAAAAGAGCGTTAAGTCAACCAGCAAAGAAGGAAGCAGAGATGGTTGCGACGGCGGGCAAGACACCTCGCTACACCTTGACACCAGAAGATCGCCAGCGGTGTCTGGCGGCGCTGGGAGACCACCACCGACGCCGCGTTCGTCGAAACGCGGAGAGGCAGGCAGCAGAACCAAAGCAAGGCGTCAAGGGTGGCAGAGAGAAGAAGCGAGCCAGGAAGACGCCGATGAAAATTGCAAAGTCCAGGCCTCCGCGCGCCGAATCGGCCCCAGTCGAAGAGACGGATGCAGAAGCAAATACCGCTGAAGCTAAAGAGACTACATAGACGAGGGTGGATGGGTTTGTGGTGGAGCCTGAGGTGGAGGAGGCAGTCGCTGATGTGGTGATAGCTGTGGCTTCGGGCTCGCATCTAATGCCGGTTCGAGTTGTCCTAAGCCCATCGAGACCTCGTGGCTTCCTCGTACACAAGCAGGTGGTAGCAGCTACGCAAAGGTCGCAAAAAACGGTGTCGAAGTGTCCTTCAATAAACTTCAGAGGCAGAAGCCGCCGTCGAATCCTCCGAGGACGATAACGGGCACAGCTGTTGTGGCTGCCGCCCCACGCGTTACTGTTGCTTGTGTAGCCAACGGCGACCGTAACATCATGGCGGCCGGCGCACGCGAATGCACTGGCCTTGGATCGGAAGAGCAGTCGGGCTTTGATGTTGATGACGATGACGCAGATAGGGAGTGGGAAAAAGACTGGGATATTGGATATCTTTCCGACGAGGACCTAGGAGACTTAGTGGAACTGATCTACCAGATTCGTTGCGCAAGTCGGTTGCTAAGAATGATGTCCGTTTGACGGAGAGAAAGCACTCTGGCTGGGAGAATGGTAAGTTATGTTGGACACTATCCAACATATGTAACTTTGATTGATCGGTTATCAACATAATAGCAACACTATTTAATACAATGATATGTGCTCTGTAGAACGGTCCAAGTTTGGAGACAACGTCGGGTCGTATGATCCATCCGACAGTGCGCTTAGTGTGGCTGAAGATCCTCTCGCACTATTCTTTTACTTTCTACCGCCCAAATTATGGAGGCAAATTGCGGCTGAGAGGAATTGCTACCACACCCAGTCAATCCCAGGCCGAGTGCAGATAATTCAAGCGAAGCAGCGTCGTGGTGGTGGGGAGGTGGAAGACATTGCAAACATTCACCGGCGACTAGCCCGTGTGAAGCCGATTGACCCTTGGGAGGTGCTGGGCGTCATTCCGCTTCTCATTGCAAGGATGTTGGCCCAGTGCGGAAGGGGATTGGTGCTCACTGGGAGCTGACACCTGCAGGCGCTCTGCCATCACCTTGCTTTGGCAAGTTCATGTCGCGCAACAGGCTCTTCCACATCATGGGATATTTGCACTTTTCGAATAACAAGTCACCGCAAGGCGATAAGGACTGCGTGTGGAAGATTCGGCCAGTTGTTTGTGGTTTTCAACGTACGTTTGGGCGTGAATACAAAAGTTCTCATTAGCTTTGCTGAGGCTAGCCTTCCATCGAGATCTCGCTACAACCCGACCAGGCAATTCAACAAGGACAAGCCCCGCAAATGGGAGACAACGGTGCTCGTGGCAGCGTGTGCAGATACTGCATATTGCATGAGGTGCGTTCTAGTTGGCAAGCATCAGCTTGCCACTTAAGTTTTGGTCTAAACGCTTATGTTGGAAATCCAGCATGTGCATTGCAGATAGCGATACATAATTCGCTTTGAACTAGCTTTGTTTGTGTTTGCACTACTATTTTCAGAATTGAGGTGTACTGTGGCGCCAACGACCATCTTTTGGACTCCGGTTTCGCCGACAACAATTTTTAGCGAAGCTGCCGTTCTCAGAAACATGAACGCGTAATGTCCAACGTCATCAACGTCTTTCTGGCGTTTGGTAGTCACAGACCGATTTTATATATAGGAAAAACTCGCGTTGGAGCTCTTGCATCGGCGAATGTACATTACGGGAACGATTCAGACGCGTGTGACCGGATACGTAAAGGGTGTGAAGAACATTATATCCTACAAAACGGTGAAGGGTGTGAAAGAGCTCGTTCCGCCAATCAAGCAGGCCAAAAATATGCTGTTCCCGTAGATAACAGCAGCAATGTGGATGGACCGCGATCCAGTTTAC